CATACCGTGGTTTAGGGACGTTAAACCCCACATATCAATCATTATCTTGCGTTCATTTGCTTGCACTATCACTGCACGCCCGACACTCTCAGGTCACAGGCGACATGCACGTTATCAACGTGACACAACTTTCTTGATAGGAAAGTGACCAGCGCCGAATTTTCAAGAAAGGAAGTGCAAGCAAGCCGAATGATGATTATTGTAGTGGGACATAGGGACACTCTTTTTACCCGATCTTTTTTTTTTTTTTAGAGTACTGGTGCAGCCACATGTACGAAGTGGCTGAACTCCCCCACCCCCTAATTTCAATTTTGCATGTGGATATATATGCACGCACACATGCAAACGCACGCACAAGGGCACAAAGTATACCCCCTCTCTCAATGGCGCGGCCAGGATGGCACACAGGAAGCCGGGTCCACGCCCCCCCCCCCTTTTTTTCCCCTAATTTCTTTTTTTTTTTTTTTGTCATGGCATGCAGACTCCAAATTGACACTAGGCCACGTCTGCCCACCAGCGCCCATTTCATACGAACCCCCCCTCCCCCCCCCCCCCAACAAAATTTCTGGCTACGATAGCAGCCAAATAAAGATCTCTTTCTGAAATTTAAGTAACCTTTATTCTTATATTGTAAGCTAGCAGTTGCAGCGCCAGGAAGATGCCTAAGTTGAAATTGCGACGAAGAGACAGTGTTCTGGCTAAATAAAATGTGCAAATGACAGCACGAGAGGCAACCCTAGCGTGTTGTTTGATGTGCAACTTCGTTACGCGCCAGCATATTCGCGTAGCCGTCATACTAAGTTGAAGTCTCTGTTTAAATGGAAATAAATATGTGCATATCTCTGGGCGAAAAAAAAGAAAAGAGAAAAAAAAAGGGGGGGGGGGGTCATGGTACGAGCCCATCCCTAATTACAAGTAATCAGTTTGCACAGGCAGATTCCACTTTTTGTGGATTGTGATATACGTAGCCTTTCGTACGGAAAAAGCAAGGTAATGAATCCCACACGTATCGTGAGGCCGCTGGCGCTAAATTAAAAAAAAAAAGCCTACTTAATTTAGGGGGTGGGGGGTGGGGGTCTCTAATTTTTTCATCAGTAATACGTGTATACATACAACTAATCACCTCACCCATCTTCTGCGTATGCGTGGAACATCACACTACACACCGTTATGGGCCCTGTCTTACAATTGAGGAGGCCCCAGTTAGCATGTCACGCGTTAACGACGTCGTAACGACGTCACATAAGAATCATTTTACCTAGACCAGAGTGAACTAATCTAGTTCACGGTGTGTACCTAAAGAATTCCCGCAGAATTATTTCCTCGAGGTCAGCGATTACTCTTTGTAAAGTGCTTTGTTGGTTGACAAGGCCCGTAGAAATGCAGCTCAGTTCTCGATCCTGCCTGTACAGGAAAATGCCCGCACTGTGCGGATAAGTCTTCGGACATCTTTCACATGGTGTAGGCATGCCAGTCAACCCCTGGGATCTCTTGAAAAGCAGCGACCGTAGGGGTCAGGGGCTAGTGAGCATGGAGAGAGATGGAGGTGTCGTTGAAGGGGAGAAAAAAAAAGCCCCTGCTCAGTGCCTCATTTCTTCGAACCGTGTCAGCGCAATTTGCACCCCCTCGTCATGCAGTGTGGTGCGCCGGCACACTTGTGGCAGTTCACCTCCGAAATGTTGGCCTTCCAGTCCTGACTTGGTGGCGCCGTCTGGTGTTTTTTCCAGAACTACTCGCAATATGGCGACAGCAGAACCGCCACCTTAACTGAACCCCACCCGGGAGAACTGGGAGGTGGCCCTGCTCGGCTGCTTCGACCTGGCGAGCCAGAAGGCCCTGGTAAACAGAGCCCGAGTCGGGTTGGACGCCAAATGGCTTCTGCAATGAGTAGCCCAATGAGTAGTTTGTGAGGGGTGGTTCACACCAGGTCAGCTCCCACATCCTCCCTGTATATATATAAAGTTTTTTTTCTCTCTCCCTTCAAATAAGCTCAAGGTGACTAAACCAATCACGAAAAGTTCTGTTAAACAACAAATAAAAAAATTACTCCCCGTCGGGGAATCGAACCCCGGTCTCCCGCGTGACAGGCGGGGATACTGACCACTATACTAACGAGGACTACATGAAAAGCAACTTTATAAGCAATTATATATATAAATGTACGTATAACGTGCATTGTTTTTTTTTTCTTTTTTTAGGAATGTTCGGAAAACTGTCTCATGGAACACTGGCTGCAAAACTGCCACTGCAGCTCTAAGCTGTACGGCCTACGACACGAAAGGCACAGGGACCTATGCGACATCTTTGATCACGGTAAAACATCGCGACCTGCGCGGTCTTTTCAAATATACACATAATTTGCATTTGTGTAGTTGCGCCGTCCTGATATTAGTTTGCTGCTGGCCAAACTGACAAACGTGTTGAATATTCATGTGGCGCTTACAGTCGGGTTTTGCATGAACACGTTTATTCGCTAAATAGACACCACCGGCATATGTAGGCTCTGTCCGTGGCATATGATCAGGAAGGCGTGCGCAATCGCTTTTATCACTGTGCTTAGATACTTTTTTTTGTCAAATTACTCCAATTTTAAGCATTCAGATAACAATATAGCAGAGCCTACGTTTGCTGCCAGTAACCTACGCATCCTATCTGCCTGCGTATCTTGATCTGTGTGCTTTCAGCTGGTCGGTGGCGCTATTAACTACGCACTGCGAATGGCGCTCTGCGAAAATCGCCCGCGCTAATCTGCATCGCTGAACCAAGCTCTACTTCAAGAAGACAGCTTGACGGCACTTACCTTAAGTGTTTTGCGCCCCGCTTTTCCAACTTTCTCTGCAAAATACGACCACTCCGCAAAGCGTCTTATACTCCCTTCTTGCGTTACGTACTGCGCGCTTAGTTCTGAATCTCGGGTAGGAATGACACGTAAATATGACGTCACCATTTTTTGCAGTACAATGCACCCACCTGATGAAGGTAGGCCAATGGAGACCAAAGTGCCTCGCCAGCTGCACCCAGCCTTGCCAGTAAGACAGCTGCATTCATTCGTTATAACGCACGTGAAAAGTGTGTATATCTACCGATCGCACATGCAAATCAACCTTATTCAGGGTCTTCACAAATACCTTAACTTAAAGCTACTATAATGGCTCGACTTAGTTTACACACTCGGCTTAGGGCCCAAACGCATGCAGCTAATTCAAAATTTCTGGTTTTACAAAGATGGAGCGGTAACCGGCCAATAAATATATTGCCTTTCATCTTTTCTGTTAACCGACCCCCCCCCCCCCCCCCCCCTCCTTTTTGTTGCCAAATTTCCGATACTGCTCTGAAACTCTTTAATCAACCAAATTTATTCGTTGTTGCTGCTAATAGTCCTTTCAAAATCCAACACGACTAAAGGCGCTGAATAAATGGGTGTTTATTGATATATAAGAGAAAACATGCAATGCTACAATGTGTACCTTTGTATTTCCCCAATCCCTTCCCGAATGAAAAGCAACCAGGGTGTTGTAGTGCGCTGTTCTTTAGGCCCTTATAACATATCACCTGGCATTCACTTCAATAAATCAGAATAGAAATTGACACCTTGACATGCCTTTTACAGCGAGATAAGGTACAAGACCTACTCTAATGTGGTGGGCAAGATAAAGAAGAATGCCAGCAGGTAAGAGTGTGCATTAGTGGCATTCGTGTCTTCCGAGTCAATGAGAGCACCAAATTTTCCTACATCTCACTCACACAAACATTTGTCATTTGCAGACTGAATGCCGTTGAATTAGTCATTCAGATGGGCTCAGACCGGCGAAAAACAGTCAGCGGCTATCCTAGAATGGAGGTGAGATTTCAGTGAGCCACCTCAAGCTCGTTTCCACCATGAATGTCTTTCCTTACCGTGCTACCTTGTAGTACCAAAAGTAGATAGCAAAGGCTCGACAGCAAGTGAACTGAAATGTCACTCAGACGTGAATAGTGTGCAGTGCAATTTCAAGCATAAGCATGGCCAACGTGAAAACGCAGAAGAGGGCCAATATGTGGGCCATTCAACGAGGGCCCTTTGCTTTCCATAAAATAAATATTCCATAGTAAAAATTCCTATTGGCCGGTTTAGTTTAGTACAACCCTAGTTCACTATTCTACATAATCACCGTTACCTCCGAAGCTCTATTCGTATTGCTGCACCAGTTTCGTAGTCCCACAGCATAAAAGCTTGCCACCTGGAAAATGTTCACTGTTTGAGTTGGTCGGTAGGCATTTTTGGTACCCAGCTGGACATACTTTCTGAATTCTCAACTTTTCTTTGTTACAATCGTGTAAATTGTAGAGCGGTTAACAAAAAGAAATCCGACAGACTACGAACTGTCAGTCGCTGATCCAATCGCACATCTCGGTTCGCTTGTTGAACGGTGTCATCGGTCTTGATGCTGAACCGGCAACTCAACATTCCTTCGTGCAAGTCATGTGGCCATTTCCGACATATTGGCACCATTTTCTGGCAGTTTCTTCACCCATCACTATAGGTTCATAAAGAAGGCACAACTCAGCATTAATTTAGAGGCTCACGACCCTTTTGCCTACAAAAATTTAATTACTGCTCACCCTTCGCGACTGGCAGGAGCAACGATTCTCGCAGACAGTTTCTCCCTGATTACCCATCAAGCAGATAACTACTGAGCCAGAATAACTTCAGCAACTTGCTGAAGAATGAACAGGTAGCCCTGCACATATAAATCATTATTCTGATTAGTCAATATTTATATATCAGCAAACAACCCTTCATTTTGGATTAATCGCTTGTCGAGGCAACAATGAGATGTTGATCAGGCATTGTTCATGTATGATCATAAGCAAAGATTCTTTAGATAGGGAAACCTAGCCTACACTGAACACCATAAATGTCATTGATTGCAAACATGTGTGTGTTCTCCGTAGCAGTGAGTTGGCCTGTACATAAGTATGAAGCGAGATTTTCGACATCAAGATGGACAGCAATATAATTAGAAAATTCAGGTTTATGCAGCATAGAAAAAACATGCTCGTGTATCAACATTTAATAGAATTCGTTCTGTTACACATAATAAAAGCTGGTTGAGCTTTCACGTTGGAAGTACATGACAATGAAGCACCTTCCTGTGCAACTGCTTCGTATGTGTAATATCACAAAGCTTTGGTACACAAAGAATACTACTAAGTAATAAGGATAAAAAAAAAGGTCTACTGCTCAAGCATAAGTAAAAAAGGCATTCTTAGGATCACCTAATTCTGCTGCGTCATCTCTCATACACAATTCAGAATTTGAAAATTATGAATATCAAGCGCATCACAAGCAATACTATCACATCAAACAAGATCTGGAAACGCATGGTGCTTTGAAAAACGACAGATTCACACATTCCACTAGGCACTACGATCGTGCAAACGCTACGAAAAAAAACTGAGGAGTGGATAGTTTAGACTATTATCTCGGCAACTCGCATTACCTGCTGCATCCTAGCTCCGAGCGTTTGCTTCTGTTGAGCAAGGACTTCTATGTCTTCGCATCCTCAACTTCCATCACCATAAATTTTTTACATGATAATCTCAATGTGGCACTAACCAGCAACGTATTACTGGAAAGATGTCACCAATTATTGTGAGCTTTCCAATAATATGACATGCGACGCTATTTATGGTGTTCGTTATACATTTTCCATACGGACCGCAGTTAAAAGAGACATCCTCGCAATGCATTTTACCACTCAGGTAATCGAAGGCCAAACATTTGCAGCTATCGTCGGTCCAAGGACTAACAGGCGACTAAGCCAAGTACTTATTCATACTTAACGCCATATCCCACAAAGAACACCCTTTACAAACATGTCGCACACTAGCACCTTCCTTTCCGAATGACACTTCACTAAACTGCATGCAAGAATGCCCGCCAACTGAACTTAGCCATTCGATTGTGTGCAACAGTGAATCTTATAACGGAATCTTTTCCAACTGACTAGATTCCAGGCCTCATCACCTACGTTGAAGGCCACATCGGTATGTGGCTTGGGCTTTCCATACTGGCCATCTCGTCGGCCATCGTCAAGTTTCACCAAAAAGTGATCCAGCACTTGTTTTCGACCGACTGAGACACAAGTCGGCATCAAGACGGGCTTCACCGGGAGCACTGAACTTCCGGGAGGCCAAGGCTAATGGCATTTTCTTGTTTGCTTTTCCGAGTATATAAAAGTGATGAAACATTGACATGCAAAGCAGGACCATTGTATGTGCAGAATGGGGGGGGGGGGGGGCTATCAATGCAACAAGAACATGTCTAATGCATTCACATTTTCCCAAGCAGATTCTGCCCAAATGTTTAGACCATTGGTTTGTCATTCAAGCTCTGTTATTTCTTAGATAGACTACAGTGTTGCTAACTGCTTACAACTCCAGTGCATCAGCTGGAACAGCGAAACCTGCAGGTGTTTATTTACAGACAATTTCAAAACCTCTTAAAAAAAAAAGGGGAACGACGTTGGCTTGCGTATGACGTACATTCCAAAGGCCAGCGTGGGCATGTGCGCATTTGGCCGTTAACAGAGCATATGCCTATCAACCCAAGGCAGTCAAGTCCTATAAACAAGCTAGGGGGAACGCTATCGTGCGAGATAAGCTGCTACTGGTCTGCGAGTGCAGAGACTTATCGAGAGCCGAAACAACACTGTACACAACGCAAACCTACAGATCTGCGCAGTGTGTCAAAATGAAAACGCAATGGAAACAAAAAGGATACACACGTGCACCCTCACATAATGCTGAGCGGCATCAGTGGAAAAGTATCGCACCAAAGAAAAAAACGGAAAAGGATCTGGTAAAGAACGTCACTGTACAGCTGTGTAAAACATTGTCACATCGCAATACAGGTGAACAAAGTTGCAGACGTCAAGAGGAAGCAAGACAACTCAGCACAATAAAGCACATTGTACAAAAGAATTTAATTTACTAAACCGTATTTCTTTTGTTCTCGTACTTTACTCATTGCACAAGCCTTTTGCATGTCAACATACAGGATCAAGGCAGGCAAGGTCTATCACATAAAAATATATTACGAGATTTCTGTCAACATATTTGTCAGACACATACATTTATTCGTGTAGGCACCAGTGTGAAATAAAAAGGCCTCATTAAAAAAATTTTTTTTTGCTTGCTTGGCGAGAGGCCCAAGGACAGCTCGGCAGTGCAGTAAGGCTGCCGCCTATATCCTTGACATTCTCTCTCTGTCGAAATTTGATTAAAAACCACTCGAGTTTAAAAGCTCTGTGAAGCTGCAACACACTTATGCCCTCGTCCGGCACCAGTAAATGTGGCTCACGAGGCCAAAGAAGAGGCACTGTCGGCTGTCAAGTCTGTTCCAGCAGAGCAGAGCACCATACCTTGCTCCTGCTCCATTCGCTGACGCCTCCGTTCGCACTTTGGGCAGACACGACCGCCGTCTTCGATGCAGGTGCGGTGGTACACTGCAAAGCACGCACTGCAGTGGTAGGTCGCATCCGTATCGAAGGCATAGATGACGGCGGGGTCCCGACATATTTCACAAATGAAGCCCTTTGCTGCGCACAGGTTACAGTCCAAAACGTGGCCGCGAGCAAACTTGATCGCCTTTTCTAGAGCTCGCTGTAAGGTGCCCGACGGCACCTGTAGAAGGTCAAAGGTCGAGTAGAGGTGAACATGTTCGTACAGGTGCTCCCTAGGCCAAATGAGCTTTCGGAGTGCACTAGACGCCGCCTCCGAACACGTCTGAAGGTAAGGCCGCAGGAAACCTAGCTGCGAGCGAAGAACTTGCGTTGCGGCCAGCTCAGGTACAGCGTCATACAACGAAGGGTTCAGTATCCTCAGGTCTAGCAGAGGCTCATCTTCATATTTCTTGAGCAGCTCTTTAGCCTCACGACTGACAGGGTGCTTGCGGAAGTCCCAGTTGTGAATTATGCGTGCAGGGATCACATTCGACTCGCTGCCACCGCACTCCGGGCAGTACGAATAGCCGTCGTAAGAACACACAGAGCTTGCACCGTAGATCATGCCAATGGGGCAGTTGCAGCCTCGACAGGCGTATCCCTGCTGGTCGAGGCCTTTCTCCTGCTGAATGTGGTCCATTAGCGAGAGCAGCTGGTTCGTCCGAACATCGGGTGCCTTCTCAGTCGGAACCACCTCAAAGTCTGCCAGTTCATCGAGGGAGTCTGCACTGGACCGCTGGTCGTCAGCCTTTACACATGCATTTCCTGGTGTCGCCTGTAGCAAAACGCATGAATGTGATGTACTATTGACACATACTGTTATAGCAAGAACACTGCAAAAGGATGCCAATACTACCCCACGAAGTGAATTTTGTGAATTTTAATATGAAAAGCACTTGCGAAGGCACAATAAAATTTGGAAATGACACAGGCATGACGATGGTGGCTCCCTACAGGCATGCATCTCTAATCTAGTGCTCCATGCTAGTAATAGGCTTCACGCCACATATGAATGGTGTTAGGCGTGATATGAACGAGACTTATACCCGTGCCACACGGGCATAGAAAATGACATTTGGTGGCGAAGGCCTTCAGTTCCCGAATGACATTCGTTTCGCCGGCGCTGCTACACGTCCAAAGCGAATGACATTTGACTTCATGATGTCGATCACAGCACCTTCCAAGTGAGCATTGAGTGAATAGCAATAAAAAAATTAAGAAGCATTTACAAGCTTCATACACATCAGATAATCATCAAATGTAGAAATAAGCGTATTACGCTGTCCTAAGTTTTAGTTTCTTGCTTTGTTTTACAACGTTGCAGCCGACCGTAGCAACCTAAGCCAACACTAGTCAGATCCACAGCGTAAATAGACACTAAAATTGACAAGCGTTTCATTATCAATACTTTATTTTCTTCGTATAACGTTCAAAGCATCTTTTTAAGACTTTAGTGCAAATAAAAGACGGGAAATTTCATTTTTAGCTCAATACGATTTGTTTTATATACTTTCAGGTAAATCGCACTTCGCGAGCTGTGTTGTTGAGAGTAGGCATTTCTCAGTCAACTGAGTTCTGGCGAAGGCAGTTGGTGGCGAATGGCATTCGAATGGCATTCAGATGAATGCCATTTTGTTCGCCCGTGTGGCACCGCGCGAATGGCAATAAATCTGAAGGCATTCGGGGGTAAATGCCATTTTTTCTGCCCGTGTGGCACGGGTATTAGCTAAGTGGCACACCTAGCAGATAGCGCCTTCCTAAAATAAAACATGGCACCACTGCTGTTGTTATGATAGGCCGTAACACAACACATGGCTGTCGAGCATTGAAAATGGTAAGCAAAGCTTCAGCAGAGGCTGGTCATTTGATAGCTACAAATGAGTGAACCGTTCGCTAACATGGGGCACACGAAAACATGCATGGCTTCATAATCTTGAATACAAGTTACGATGCAGTGCAAAGGCAATTGTGACAACGCAAAATATTCCTTGCCTGGCTTTCTGGATATGGCCTGATGGCCGATGTGATGAGGTCCCTCATCTCTGGCGTTCCACACACCTGGTTGTTGATGTTCTGCGTGTAGCTCAGCACCAGAGAGTCGTAGCTCTGTTGCTCCAGGTCGTCTGAGTGGTCAGACTTGTCGGCAGTCGCGCCCACGTCTTCGTACTCGTCCTCGAAGGGCGAAGACCAGCCCTGAGTACGGGTCCAGGACGTTACCGAAGGACCTACGCGACTCATGCGGGAACTTGTCCAGCAGGTCGAAGTCGGGCACTGACGCCGGCGACCCGGAGACGTCGGCCTGCGCCACGGCGCTACCTTCGTTGGCGTCTAGGTTCAGGGTTCGCAGGAGTTCGCGCACCTGCGACGCGCTGATGCTGCTGCCGGCCGAAGTGGCGGCGGCGCCCTCGGGCGAAGAACAAGACTTGATTTCGATCACCTTTGTCTGTTCCGGCGGCACGTCAGGGTTCGTCTCGCTCACGGAAGGCTCGGCGGCGCTGGTGCACGATGCAGCACCTGCAGGCAGCGAAGCGCCCGCCATCGCGACGTCGACGCCGCTGTCGCTACCGCAGCCCACGCTGTGCGCCTGCTTCTCGGATTCAGAGGGTGGCGGCTCGCTCGCCTGGATCGCGATGGAAGACGTACATGGCACGGCTCGAGCTTATGGACAGTTTGCTGCGCATACGTCTCGACTGGCCCGCCTCGTGCTGGAAGAATTCGGCCGACGTCGTACGCAGGCATCACGGGTTCCATCCGCTTCTGCCGACTTGAGCACGCCAGCCAGCTGCAGCGGCATGGTGTTCCAGCAGTTGAGAGCGGCGCAGTTGACGGGAAGCCTGAAAGAGTAACCCGAGAGGCCCTCGAGGAACTGCTTCACGATGTCGGGCTGTTCCCGGTCGGCCATGTACGCAGTTTGGCGGTAGTAGCAGCGCAGCTGTCTTCGGGTCCTGTATCATGGCCTCGACGTAGCTGACGAGCAGCGACTCGTTGAGCGCGAGACGCAGCCAGGCTCGGCAGCGTCCGATATCCGTGCTGATCTGGTTGAGGCCGGCGATTTGGGCGAGCACGTCCTTGTGCGAGTAGACCATCGCCACGGGCCAGAAGTCGGGTGTCGGCAGCCTCTCGGAGTTGCCGAACACGCTGGACATCTTCTTGACGATGTTGTCCTTGAGACCGTGGATGAAGATGGCCTCGAGACAGAAGCAAACCCTGGAGACTGACTCGCCGCCCGTGATGACAGGCTCGGCGTTTACCAGCTCCTGCTGTAAGTCGCGCACGCAGCCAGCGAGCTGTTTGGTCAGCGAGCGCTTGACGACAATGTCCCGCGCCGCTTCCTCAATGGTCGGGGACGTCGCCTTTTTCCAGAGCGGAACCATTCTTGTGACACCGCCACGCGCGTCCCACTCGGTAAACGCGAAGCCAGATTGCGAGGGCTGTCTTTGGTTAAATGTAGGAGCCCGACAATCTGAAACCCTGCATGCCGACGACCCGAGCGTGTTCTATTTACACTGCACCCATCTGATTATCGGCCAACCATCTTCCAAGTACGCACGCCGCGCCCCCTAAAAACAATACGTGTTTCGTTTTCTTTCAGCGTCCGTTTAAACAAATAAACGTGTAGCAGCACTACTCGCGTCCTATCAAAAATGTATTCCCTCGTGTTTAGCGATTTGAGGCAAACAAGAACTACCGTCGCGTTAAAAATCGCAACGAGGTGGCATTAGCACCAATGACAACAGCGCTTCGTCGGGTGTCGTGTTGTGAAGCGGCCGCATCGTCCAATGGATGGATCCGCGCAAGAACTGTCAAGCGTGACCCTGCACCCGTTTCGTGCGAGAAAAAAAAATTATTGGCTACTGCTGCTTGATTGTTTCGTCGCCACGGCCAGCAGCACATGTCGCGATCGTGTCGTACCGCGCAGGTCGCGGTGAAAACGTCGCAGTTCGCCCCACAGGGCATGTAACGCGCCGCCGTCTGACGCCGACAGCTGATTCAGCTCGCCGAGGTAAATATGTCATCCTTCCTGCCCAGTATTTTCGACGCCGCCACTGGACTTCTACCTCTGAGCAAGTGCCGATACTCCGGAAGCATGCCTGGTAAATCGCAGTCCATGCTATGAATCTCGTTGCATTGTTATATCTGTGCGCTTTGAGTACCCGATTATCGATAGAACCGCGTGATTGCGATATCTGATAATCCTTGCGTATGCGCAATAGTCGTGAAATATCCGGGTGGGTGTGCTGTGAACGGCTTTAAGGGAAGTATCGACAATCGCTCAGCCGTCGTGCATACTTACCTAGGCATCGTACGTATACCATGTATACACATGTTGAAAGTGCGTCTTCTCTTTCCGCAGAGATGTTTGCTGTAACGCTCTTGAGCGGATACATCGTAACGTCGGTGATACTCTTCAAATACCCGCACCTTTTGCATCGGAGAAAGCAGTTGAAGTTCCCATGTCGTCATATCAGCCATCGGGGTGGTGAGTTGCGCTGTCACAGAACTGTCATATCTAACGCGTGATGTACCAGCTGAGCAAACAGACCTGCTTGTTATTGTGTGTCGCTGTGGCAATCGCCACTGTGCAGTGATCAAGCACCTAAGCTCGGCCAGTGAACTTTGTTACAGGTGCCAAGCTGTACTTCTTCGAATTGCTTGGTTGCTGATGATCTCAGCCTAATGTGGTTTAATTACCGATTGGTCTGGCTCCCGCTTTAAGGATGTGAACTTTAAGTTTAATATTTAAAGGACCAGAATTATGTCAACCAGTGATTTGTCATGAAACTGAAAAGAAATCCATATCAAAACTGATTTTCAGAGCTGAAATTTGTTATGTACAAGTATCACCATCAGTCTCATCAAGAGATAACTGATAGACTGAAGTAGGCTGGATGTGGGCCAAAATAGTTGTCACGTCTCAATCAAACCATAAAAAAACATGGCCTTGCATTAGGGATGCTACAGGCTTCTGAAGCAGCCAAGACTTAACTTGCATATGCACTCATTATGCTGCCCTTAGCATTTTCTTGGTGACCGCCATTAAACAAAATGTATATACCTCTCTTACCTAGGATCAGCGGAGAACTTGGAAAACACAATCTCGGCGTTCAGACAGTAAGTTGAACACATAAATCACGTGACGGTAGGTCGTTTACGAACTGTACGTTGACTTGGTTACTTTGCGCAGCGCACTGAAGGTTGGCACCGAGCTCATAGAACTGGACGTTCAGCTGACAAAAGATGGGAAGGTGGTTGTCTGTCACGATTCCGGCCTGCTGCGGTGTGCGGGTGTGAACAAAAACATATCAGAGCTCAACTATGATGTAAGCAATGCTTGTTTTTTTACATTTATAGTCCGATTCTGCCGTTAGTTTCCTTTGCACGCGGTTCTTTCGGAAAGTTCATCCCTTTGTAGGTTGTTTTCGCTATATACGACATTCGTAGTGATCAGCAAGGGAGGGGCGGGACAGCTGCTCTCCTGGTTAGTGCATCTCTGAAATGAAGAGTCGACTTCACACCAAAACTATGACCATACTGAAAGACAAAGGAACACAAAGACAGGACGGTTTCCTTGCCCTCATGAAGGAGCTAACTTGTCGTGGGTGCCTCACCCCCAGTAAAGAAATCCTGGTGTTGCCCCTGCTAAGGGAGCCAAGTTTGCTCATTGCTTGCACACAGCCTGCTATCGAAACGTACACAGCCTAGGCTAATAAACCTCTAGGTTCCTTGCTTTCTAAAATTTGAAAAAATGCCAGGTGAAAGGCGAAAATGCAACTCTATCCTAAATTATGTGTAAGGGACAGTTATTTGTCAACATGCAGCTCAAGTGTGACATATCAGTGGCACCTTTTTTTTTAAGGATCATGAATACGTATGCTCTCATTTCAGGGTGTTGAATGCTGAAGAATTTTTTTTTTTTTTTGATGTAGGCTTTATGCCATTTCATTTTATATTTAGAATGCTTCATAGAGTTCCAATTGTGCAGTTTACTATACACATATTTTTTTTTTCTTTCTGCCAGGAGCTGCCGCCTTTAAAGCCAAGCTTACAGGTTGATTTCTGCAATGGTAAGCTGTTCATAGTTGTACTGCACACATGCCAGCTTGCTCGAGTCATAAAGATGAAAGGGTGTGGTGTTCCTATTGGCACACTCTAGAAAGTGAAATGTTCAGCATATTGTACGCATGCTCCACAGATCGTAAAGTTGGCACTGGGACGAAACACATGTGCAGAACGGAATGTGCCCCGCATGATCCTGTTGCACTTTCAAGCACTGCTCTTGATGTCCTCATTTCATTTTACGCTTAGTTTGACCTACATTAGAGGCTGCCTATCTTGAGAAAAGTGACAGAACTACACGCATCCAGAAAGATCAGCTTATTTGGGGGAGTCACCTTCATAACCTGCATTGCATTGTCTTTTTTCTTAAACTTATTTGGTACCTACTACCTTAAGCCTTTTTTCTTATTGCTGTCTGGTTGCCTTTGCAATGCACTATGTAATGTGTAACATATTACGTTTGTAATGTGTTAAATTACTGTTTGGTGATGATCTTCTGTTTTGCAGTATTTTCTCTACCTTGCGGATTTTCGTCTAAATAGATTAATTTGGTCTTACTACATCCCTGTTTTTTTGTTTCCATCTGTGCCTTCTCGCTTTTCCAGCCTCCTGCCAAGGGGCTATGTTTTATTTATGAAAAAAAAAAAATATTTCTGGGTCGTGTACTGACTCCAAGTGTAATGTTGATGGTGGATATACTTGGGAAGGTAATGCATATAAATCTGCTGCTTTGTTGCCTTTTCTTTTCGGTTGAGTGATTGGAGCTTTATTTAAGGGCAGTGTAGCATGACCTTGGGCTAGTTGTTTACTAGTGTAATGCTTAACTAGGTAATGGTACCATAAGTTGGGGACACACAATATAGGGAATGACCTTAACTTCGAGCTAATGCTTTTTTTTTTTATCGGTGTGATATACAGACATAACAAGAATAAAAAAAAATGCAACATTATGCAAGGAGAAGTGTCGAAGAACCTAGAGTTATCAAAATAGCACATGAAACCATTCCTTCAATGATGTGGTCTTTAAATATGTGAGGTTAAAAAATGTGACTGCTTAGTTCACAAACAATTAGCAAGTTTGTTTGTGTGTGATATATCACATTGTACAATTTCATTGGATTGTGCAATCTCTCCTAAGACAGTTCTTATTTTTTCCAGCTCGAACACTATTTTGGACTATTTACAGTGCCCGGCTTAGTCGCTATTGGAACCTTGACTTTCAGCCCTAATGTCATGTTCATGCAACTGATCATTGGGGATCATAAAGCTTTATTTCTTGAGCGTTACATATGAAAAAGCACAGGACTGGTTTAACGGGAGACACCTTTGCTTCTGTAGTCAGGCTGATAATGATGATAATTACATAAGGCATTATTCGAATCCAGCACTCGCCATTGTAACTGCTCCTTTCTTTCCTAGGTGCACCAAGTCCAGTGTGTGAGGATCGAAAGATACCTTTACTCAGCGACATTTTTACCCTTTTCCCAAGCGTGCCTGTCAACATTGACATCAAGACCAAGAATGACAAGCTCGTAGAAAAGGCAAGTCTCTGACAGTTTTGCGACGCCGGTATGCATTTTGAGCAAGTACTTCTGTGGCTTAGCAGAGCAGTGCACTCGTGACCCATGTATATAACAGGCCGGCCATTTTCAGGTGCACGAGCTCATCAAGGAGTTCAACCGCGAGGACATCACAGTGTGGGGAAGCTTCCACCATAGCGTCGCCACGAAGTGTTACAAACTGGTGAGATATCCTTTTAAGCAGAGCAGAAACGAAGTTGTCGGCATGTCACTGCTGGACCCCTCTATCGCTTCTTCTTCTTTCACTAACTTCTTGGCAAGGTTCCGGCTCTGGAAGGTTCGGTGCCTTCGGGTAGCAGGGGAGTGTTTACGGGCCTGTTGGCCAAGAAGTATCACGTATACTGTGTGTTTCCACATGTCAAGAGAAAGTTCCAAGCTTTTCAACATGGCCACGAGTTGTACTGGCTAACAAACACTATAAGCATTTCTTATACCTACTGAGTACCTAAGAAAGTGAATAGAGGAATTGCCACGACCGCAGAAATATCGGTGATGCAGTGCTTAGGCAATGTGGGACCGTGAATTCATTTCCCGCAGACAACACATAGTTTTCATTGTCCACTTTCGTTTCCATTTTTTACTGTAAATACTAGACATAGACAGAAAACATCAAATCACACCCTGTATGCTCAATAACCGCGTCCAGGGTTCCCTCTCAGCGGAGGCCAAGTGTTATTGCGCCTCCACCTCTTTTCGGTTTGTTGAGTCCACGTAGGTAAGCGTAGGCTGGATTTAAAGGCAATGAAAAGTAGGGTTCTAGGCACCGAAAATAGGCAGGCAAAACTCAGTTTTAGGCCTCCAAAACTTTAAATAAATGCACAATAAAATTTTATAAAAGAAATATTTTTGAATAAATACATACATAACTTGTGTCTACGACAGGAAAGCATAGAAAAAAAAAAATGCTGTAGTTTATGACGGTACAAAGGCACCAGTGGTGTAGCATAGCCACGCAGTTTTGTCCAGCACGGTTTGCGGAACACGGTCTCTCCTCTTAATGTCCAGCATGGTGAGTTATGGAGGGTCCACCATCGAATAAACGCGCTCTCAGGTCTCTTTCTTGGCTGAAAAGGGCAGCACAGGAGCAAATCGCCAGACCGCTGAAAGGGTCTTTTAGCCTCGTGTTAATGGGGTCTAATCACACAGTCAATTTCTCTTTTGTCTGTGAAAACCTTAAGAGGTCCCTCATGAGTTTTGAGCATTTCAAGCAAGTGCATGCACTTGGCGCTCGCAATTTTGTCTGCCAGGATTTACAATGCTACGCGCCCTGAAAAAAGGTGAAATGTCAGGCTGGATGCCGCTTGCCTTTCATCTCACAGGCGTGCGCCCCAACATGGTGGAGGTGACTTACAACAAGGAATGGTCCTGCATGTGTCAAAGTAGCACGTGACACTGTGGGAATTATTCGATGCAATGTACACTGCAAGAACCATTTGGGGCGACATCTGTAATTGGTGCAATATGTTTCTTGAATTTAAGGCCGATAGAAATATGAAAAGATGATAGAAACGGCATCTGTGTGCCTTCTTTATTTATTTATTTAGCTTCGTATCGAGTGACATGCGAGACTAAGCTGCCTCCATTTCATTTATGTTTAATGTTCTTGCCCTCCTCGCATAGTGTCGGTGTCAGCCCTGACAACACTTGGCGTATTTTTGGTCTGTCGTCTCTTAGCGCAGTTATTTCAGCAGTGCGCCGCTGTGTATCGCAGTGAGGATACATGATCCATGCCAGCCTCTCTAAAAGTGCCTGCATAGAGGAATCCATCTCACAGAAAAAAGCAGTACAATACAGAGAACACCAAAACGACACAACTTCATTTGCGTGCATGACTTGGCTTGGGCGTGTGCATGACATGTTGGTGCTTCTGCATCATGTGATTTTCCGGTCCCGATTTGCTCTGATACGGAAGAGGGCAAGGAAGGAATTTGACTTGAGAAGTCTACACCGGGCGAGTAACAAAGGTTTCAAGCTCACCTCCTCGCATCATACTTTTGTGGCTTGTGATGAACCAATTAAAAAATTATTTTGGTACAAAGCTTTTCATTGGGTAGCAATAGCCTCCAGTGTCTGAGATAATTTTTCATGTGACTTGGTGAAGCGACCATAAAGAAGTAAAAGACAACCCAAGGAAAAGCTACATGTACTAGTAATTTTTTTTTTACCTGCACTCGCCTTTCCCCTGATGGCACTCCACGGTTTTGCGTTATTATCATTATTAATTGATGATATACTGGTGGCCCAAGTAAGGACCCAAGCAGCAGGGGCATGGGAAAAACAAACTACAAAATATAATAAAAAATGGAAGCAACATTGTAAGTATGGGAAAAAATAAGGGTAGCCGTACGAATTTGGTATAGTATATAAAAAAAAAGCATATCCAAGTTAATAACACAAAAAAGAGAGAAAGAAAAAAAACAGACAAGGGACCTTTTATCTTAATTGTGCAATAACTTTTAAATTGGACAGATGTTCACGAGGCAAGTTGTTTCCATCCGTTTTGTATGCAGGAAAAATGAATACATTAATAGGTTAGCTTTAGTGCAATAAGGTGTTAGTGCTATTTGTTCTCTATCGTCCCACTGCTGCACAGAAGCACCTCCTGTTACTTACGCGTGCGAGCTGACACTGGGAAGATGCCGAGCAGATGATGCGACGCGGATGAATACATGCGTATAGGCTAATCAGCCTTCCTATTGGCTAAAAGACCTTGTAGCCTTGAGAGTGTTGAAAGGAACTTCTGAGATGGAGTGTAGGTTGCAAACCATAGAGTTCCTAAGAACCCACTTTTGTCCAGTAACATAAATACCTGTCTCCAACTTTACTCGAAAGGAGAAGTTTAGGTTAAATAGTGTTCTTATAGGCACTGGTTTCGAAAATAGGCATTGATGGGCCCTTATAGGAATTTAGGTACAAGCATCAAAAATAGGCATTTATAGGCACTGTAAAAGCCCTTCTTAACCTCTAATTCATGCTTATAGATCAAAGTGGCACGATATGAACGCAAGGAACAAAACAGGCATTTGCCTAAAATCCGATCTTTAGAGATAAGACACGAGTGCAGTCTCCGCCACCACTCAATGCATTCGCTTGGGATAAACCATGTGACGCAGACGCGGCGGTCACTTGATTGGTTGATTGATTTGTGAGGTTTAACGTCCCAAAACCACCATATGATTATGAGAGACACCGTAGTGGAGGGCTCCGGAAATTTCGACCATCCGGGGTTTCTTAAACTGCTTCCCAAATCTGAGTACACGGTCCTAAGCGGCGGTCACTTATTTCATTGCTCTCACCCTCCACTCTTCTTCACGCTTTCATGTGCTTTCTCCTCTCCTCCTTCTGATCATTGATTGATTTGATTGATATGTGGGGTTTTACGTCCCAAAACCACCATATGATTATGAGAGACGCCGTAGTGGAGGGCTCCGGAAATTTAGACCACCTGGGGTTCTTTAACGTGCACCCAAATCTGAGCACACGGGCCTCCTTCATTTCCGCCTCCATCGGAAATGCAGCCGCCGCAGCCGGGATTCGAACCCGCGACCTGCGGGTCAGCAGCCGAGTACCTTAGCCACTAGACTACCGCGGCGGGGCCCTCCTTCTGATCACTACGCATAGCATAATCTGTTGAGTGGCGTGGAAGTCATTCAACAACAGCATTCACGAGCGCGTGTGCGGACTGGCGGAGGCCAGCAGTGATGGTGGCGGGGATTGGCAAGTGGGCCGCAGGCGTCAAAATGGGTCGCCGAGCAAATGCAGGAATGCAGTGAAGCGTGACCGTGCACTGTTGCTATAGAAACGACAAAGAACAACAGCCTGCGGCTTTGCTCGAGGACCTGTGCCTCTCCTTTCAACCTCCTTCTTTTGTAGCGTCGTTTGGTGAACATGCCACGAAGCAGAGACCAGCGTTGCGCTATGTGTCCCTTCCAGAAGAATGGAGTTGGCGCACCTGTCCTATCTTACTCCGTAGTCAACTCCAAAAGAAGAAAGCTTTGCAATGAATGCAAGATGATGTGACCATGAGCTTCTCACAATGGACTGTCTTTAATCCTTAACTGTTCAAGGCTTATGGGAAGTAAACAGCTTTTTGCATGCAACGCAGCTGGTCTTTAGCTCCTACTTCTGTCAAATGCGTGGGCAACCATGTGCCGTAAAAATGACTGGTCAGTTCTGACCAAGTACAGGTATGGGGCAAACTTTGTGCCCCCCCCCCCCCCCTAAATGATCACGGCGGTTGGCTGCCCCACCCCCATCGGCTTTTCTTGGCTTCATCGTATGTTGACGTCATACTACACACTTTTTTGTAATGTATGGCAATTGTTTTCCAGGGTTAGAAAAAAAAGTTTGTTCTTGTGCTTTGACTGGCAAGAATGAGAGTGCATTGAACGTCACGCTATGTTCTGTGGCTTTCAGAATCCCGAGGTGCCGCTCTACTTTTCGGCACGGTGTGTCGTCTACCTGCTCTTCCTGACCTACAGTGGGCTGCTGCCCTTCGTACCACTTAGGCAGTCGTGTCTGGAGATTCTGCTGCCTTCAGTGGCGAAACGGCAAGACCTTTCTCACATGTTGCGACTACTTTGTGAGAGTGTGAACAGATCTGACCGAATGACTATAATGTTGGCGAGGGAGATGGGAAAACAGTCTCCCTGACCAAATGGGCAAGTGTGAAGAGTATGAAAGGCATTGTCATCAGAAATCACGTGTCTGTGCAATAGTATTCCCGATTAACTGCAACAAGGGAATTTCGATTGGTTTGTGAATGTGCTTGTATACATTTGAGTACAATAGAAAAAGAAACTTGCATAGTGTAACCATTCACGTTCTGCAGGAATCCCTCGATGATGGAGCAACTGAAGCAACCGAAGTCACGTTTCCTCTTCAGGTTGCTAGACTGGTGCGTGTTGCCTTTCAATCGTGGTCTTGGCAGTTAAAATATGATGCAAAGTAATTTGAAAGCTTCTGTTGTGCTGCAAGGCTTTCGAGCTACTAAAGTCAATGTGGCTACCTCTGAGATGCAGCAGTTCTGTTAAGATGGGTTCATGTCTTGGTCACTGGTCACTGCACCTTTGTTCCATTTTCCACAATTGTCTTCTCTACGTTGAAATATTGCTGTTACAAACAGAATCGTCCATTGTCTCACTGCCTTGTATTCGCTGGTGGTGGCATGCACATCACACTTGAGTTTCTTTTCTTAATCCTGCCGCCCACCCGTTTCCTATGCATGTATCACTTTGGGAAGAACTGAGAAACATGTTTCATTTTGATCCTTGAACTGCATGCTGTCACCTTCAAACCACGTTTTAGCACAAAGCGAATAATTGTTTTTTCCTTTTTTACTGTAGGTTCGTTGTAAGGAAGTTTGTGATAAATCATCTTCGAAAGCGAGGCATCCCGGTGAGTTCACGCTGTTATCTCTTTGGTACAGGTTAAGGTTCCAATGCTTTGATAAGCTGTTAAGTTTATTTCTTGCTGATTATAGCTGGTTGAGTGCCTGCAAATCGGTTTGCAGTTAGAACTTTTGAGTAAACATTTTATACTGCAGTAGTGATTTTATGTAGTGACACTGCTTGAAGAAAAAAATTTGCTTTTGGTATTACGGTCGTCTGAACGTCTGTGTGTGACAATATTATATCATGCTTCATATACGGCATTGCCCTATTCAGTTTGTCAACTGATTCATGTAGTCGCTACTAATAAATTAGGATATCTAGGGAAACGGTAACTATGAAGATTTCATACCAGAAAAAGCACACAGTAACGCATAGTGTTGGCAGCAGAAGCATGGTACCTCTAACCTGGTATCACATATGTAGCGGTGCATGTATTGGGTGCTTAGTGAAAAAAATGCTCAAGACCAGTCATGCCTTTGTAGCTTACAAGAACAAAGCATTAATAATCGCGATAGATGAGGCATTAATGCGAGTGGCACTTTGCAATGTGACAAACAGCCACAATGTCGTGTAAAATATGGGACGAAGGCGGTCATGTGCAGGCCGCTAGCGAAAGGTCAGTGGGTAGCATGCGGCCTGCAGACTGCATGTTTGAGTTCCCTACACTAGAACCTAAGGTCTTGGTCTGTGGCATCAAGCTTATCTGAAAGCTTAGCCAAACATCTGTGATTAGTTTCTGCCTCGCCTTGCAGACTTACTTGTGGGTGCTGAACGAGAAGGAAGACTTTGAAAAAGCGTTCGCCATGGGTGCCGCCGGCGTGATGACGGATCGGCCCACTCTTCTCAGGGAGTACCTCGATCAGAACCCTTGCATCGGAAGATGAGGGACGACGGAAAAAATCCTCACACGGGTCTCGTCGCGACCAAGAGAACACTTCGCTGCCATCTCTTTTTTTAAATGAAAAGCTTTCGCTGGCGGGTTTAGAAATAAGAACGAAAGTATTTCTGCACAAAAATATGTCGGAGCTGCGCGGATAGTCTCGGCCACCGTCTACTTTTCCACGTACAAAGGTACACGACATTCGGGTGCTTTGCCGTCTCAAAAGGGAAGTTTTTAGTGAAACGCTGCTCGCGCTCCATTTTGCCCGGTGAAACAGTGTTTGCTTTCTTAACATCTTCACTTTCGCATCGCCCTTTTTTTAGGAGTCCTCTCGAAATGAGTAGCGCAGCTTTGGTTAGTGATAATTATCGAGTCGTTGTGTAGTCACCCTAGCAGATTTTATAGAGTATTTATTTGCGAATGTGAAGCATGGCGCTATTTATGTGTTGGAGATGTCTGGCTGTCGATGACTGTTTCATGTTAACTGTGCCAACGTGGAGTCCTCGTTAACTTTTCGTACTCGTCTTTATCGTGATCTTGTCAAAACGGTGCACATGTCGCCGTTCCAAGCAATGCGCACGTGCACAAACCACATAGACGTTCAAGCTAGGACCATGGCAGATGCTTTAATACACTGCTTACTCTTTTTCTATCACATTTACACACCCATGTGTTGAGCCAGAAGAAAAAGAAACACATTTACAAAATACAGTCCACATGGCCAAAGACAAATGTACATCTAACACATAGTATTTACAAAGAGCGAGTGACATCAGAATGCATACCAAAGAGTATTCGAACAAGTCCTCTCTTGTTTTGTTCATTATGAAAAATGGCTGTGTCTGCTGTTTGTTGTATAAATATATATATAGTATATGCAAGAACAAAAAGTGAGAATGAAGAAAGAGATTCTGAATTAATAAAAAAAAACCTGCTTGATGGCCTTTGTATTTCATTCCTAACGACGTGCGAGGTGCACTACAGCGGGATGGGATGAATGACATATGCCATGGACATTTAGACCTTTCTGGCCTGGCAGTCCCACACACCATGGCCTTTTGGTACTCTGAAAGCATTATATAACCAAATCAATCTTGAACATTTCTCTCTAGAATCTCTTTAACATGGAGCACAAACTCATCTGCATAAGTTATGTCTATCGCATCTCGTAGTAGCATGAATTACATGCGTACATTAGAACACACTCATAAATAGTAACTCTCATCACCTGTACACACGATATGGCAAATGCTGGCACCACCAGTGGCGCATTTCTAATACTCTAAAACTGCATACACGCACACACACAATCAGTGGCCAGTATTCAAACAACAAAGGTCCTTGCTCTCATCAGTCCATGTGCCACTATAGACCTAGCCCTTGCTAACTAAGCACAAAGAAAATGTCATTCAGCATTCCGACACTGCAGTCTGTGAACCATCGTCGGTACCAATTGACTTCGGTTTTCTCCGCACTGTCGACACAGCGTCCCTGTTTTGCGAAGAACCGTCGTCACTGCTTTCACTGCTAGGCTTTCGTTCTTCTACAGCGTTCGTCTTTTCAGCCTCGAGTTTCAAGGCAAAGCCGTTGCTTTCACCAACGGCACCGCGGATAATGTCCCCTATCCGCCCCTTCTGCAACCTGTGTGGCTTTGCAGCTATCTTTGGAGGTGGTGGCGGCGGCTTACACCGCCTCGACACCAGCGGCGGAGGAGAGCTCGACCGGACCGCTTCAGCAGTGCCATTCTCTTCAGACCGCTCAGAGAGCAACTTCCCGCCGTCGTCTGCGAGAATCTTGGAGAGGGATGGCGCCAAACCGAGGCCCAGACTTCGATCGTGGTACACGTCTGAAATCGGCGGTGCCCTCGAAAAGTGCCGCATTTGGTGGGAGAGAATGTGGTCCCGCATGCTCTTGTCCCTCTGCGCTGGTCCCTCACCATTGCTGCATGTGGGGCTCAGCAGTGTGTTCATCTCGATGCACGATTCCTGTTCAGCACTCGTCGTCTGTTTTGACCGCCTGCTGCTCTGCTTCGACTGTCCACCCAAGCTTGTTCTAGGGGTCGCAAGAGGCGGTGGTGGCGGCCGCGAGATACCTGCCCCAAAACGCGGTCGATCGAGAGAGAAGTCGTTCCTGTCAGAATCGCTGCTCTGAGATTCGAAGCACGACGATGCTTTTCTTGATCCGGTTGTCGGCGTCGCTTCTGCATTTTCACTCGAGGTAGCTGCACGAGCGCTGGTGCTGCTGCTGCTACTGGCGTTGCCGTTCTGACGACGCACCGTCATCTGACCGGCATCCCAGTCGGAGCTGGCGGATGATGAGCTGTCTGGTCGCTTTCCGGAGTCGTCAAGCGGGGAATCGTCGTTGTTGTAGAGAGCCCGCATCTTGCCTTGTTGCATCAATGCGGCGTTTGATGGCTTGAATCCAACGAGTCCCACAAGGTTTGTATATGCTGCACTCACTGGGTTGACGGGGCTCGGCGTGAAAGTGTCGCTGTCACGGTTCTTTTGATCGGATGCCGGAGCAGTGCGACCATCAGGCTCTCCCCTTGCCCTAACATAATTGGAGAAGGCCCCCGTGCCTTGGCCAAGGCGAGGTCTTGTCAAGGGACCGGACGAAAAGCCGAGTGCCGATGTTGGGGGTGGTGAGGAGTCGGTGTGGGCATCACTGTCGAGGCTGTCCAAGTCGCTTGAGTCATCGAAGTTGAGGTTCTTTGGCGCTTCTTGAGTATCTGGAGAGAGAAGGAATGGTATGCATCAATGCTTAGTCTGCCTTCTCTGTTGACGCTGGTTGCTCTACATGCATGCACAGCTTAAAATGCACAAAATCCTCTCGATATTAGCTCTGTTAAGCTAAATTTTTCTGGTACTAAGGTGAGGGGCCTTTTCCTACAAAATGCAGCAATCAGCCATTCCTGCCACACCTTTGTCTAGCTTCCAACCAATTCTACAAGCTCTGGGCAAGGCATGGTTCCTTCACGTTTTGCCAAGGGGCTTGTCCTCACCTGGGCAGCAATATACAGTATTTCCAGAAGTTCCCTTCTTTAGAAATATCAGCTCCAGCAACGTTTCTAAACAACCACAGGTGGCTGCTTTTTTTTATTTCAACGGAATCTTTTGTCACCCAAGCTAGCATAAACTCTGGTATTTATCGCACTGCTAGCGCAAGCTCTATAAAGTCTGTACTATTTATCAAACAAATATTGTTTATTCTGACATTGTTTTCTTGTTAGCATTCCAGCTGTGTGTCTCATTTTATAATTCTTTTTTTATATGACTCCTGCTTTGGCTCAATCATATCTTTCAGTAGGTGCAAAATTGGAAACAAATATTATTTGTTTCAAGATTTGTCATCGCTCCAGGCTCCCACCTTTGCTAAAACTTCCGTCACATTGGGCCTGCATACTACAATCCTTAACTGCAAGTCTAAGGACATGCGACATTTGCAGTGTATTTGCTTTAATAAAGAAGCAGACATCACAGTGGGACTATAGACTGCCACAAACTGTTCAGGCCTTGCGCCAGCTTTCAGATGCATGAGCTTGAAGTCGTAACATGGGCACGAAGAACTGTTTCACTCACCAAACACAGCAAGCAGAGCTTGGAGAGCAAACTGAATCGACCTGCGATTCGCTTGCTTTCCCATTCTTAGCGTGACTTCATCCTTGCCAACTTCCATAAGGTCGAAACCTGCAATGAATGAATGAATCCATCAATCAATCAGCAAATTAACAACTTCTATCATCCTTGCACAAAATGACTCTAGCCTGTCGTAACAAACAAATGGAGGCCCATCATGAGAGAGCAGCATATTAGGGAATTCTTTAACTGTTCACATAGCTCAAGCAACACTAAAAGCGATACTACCAGAAGGAGCCATGAAAAGCTCAGGTGATTTCAGCAATAAAACCATGCATTCAAAAACTTGGGTGCCATGAGAAAACTGCGGGATTGCTTACGACGATGAAATAATTGTCCCCCCTAAAGAAGTCTATGTACACACAAGAAACTTCTCTCTTCACAGTAGCAAACTTTTATAGTGAGTGCAGTATAGATTGTCATTCATTGCAAAAGTAAATTAGCTTAAGGGGGGGCGCGGCAAGTAAAGTGCCGATTTTGGTCAAAATATGCGATTTTCTGATTTATTTTTTTTCGTAATCTTCAGACCTTCAACTTCCTTGTTCTAAAATATTACAGCGAAACGTGCGCTACAAATCCCGCAAATAGTGTTTTTGCCGAGGCTAGTCGCCGAAAAGTGCGAAAAAAAAAGCCCCTGAAACGGTGTTGTTCACGCCGCACAAACGCGCCAAGTTGTTGACCGTGGGCCGCCATTTTGGTAGCTTTGGAAAGAGGAGAAAGCCGGCTCCCTGATGGTCGCGGTCTCGTATTTCGCCGAGTGAAAATAAAAGCGCGAGGAGCAAGTAAAAAAACGAAAACGAAGAACGGCAATTGGCTGCGCGGGTCACGTGGTAGCAGGCGCGACCTCTTACTGGTCAAAGCTGCGCCGCGCACCTTGGCAACCTTGGAAGCGCGAGCGCATCTGCGGCCGCCGTGTCGAGAATCATCCGGCGTGCGCTTCGTTTTTTGCCAGTTTGCTGTTTTTGTGATAGTTCGCGTGCTTTTTTTACCAAACTTTGTTTACATCGGTGGTCTCTTCTGAGTGCTTGCTCATACTGCGGTGCTATGTTGCCGCAAAAAAAGTTCCGGAGCGTCCACAAGTACGGCAAGCGTCGGAAAGCTTGGAACAAAGGGCAGACGACTGCGGCTGCCGTCCCAGTCGCAGTTCCGGACGGAGCATGCTCTTCAAGCGTCACGGAGCCTCTACTCAGACCCTTCGCTGATTGTTGTGAGGCCGAGAGTGTGGAAGGTGCCACATCGTCGTATGTCAGACCGCCGGATGCCGTCGACCGTGATGGACGCTCTCGCGAACCCGCTTGCGGTGGCACCGCGTCGGCAGCCGTTGCAACTCCGGGCGTGCGCGCGTCGAACATTCTATCGCGAGTTTCGGCCCAGATTCCGAGCAGTGAAGAAATCGCGCAGCGGGCGCAGACAAGGCGGGATGTTTTGGATGCCGTAGCATCGAAGTCCGCTTCAAAGCGGAAGCTCGAGCTTCTGAACGAAGGCTGCGACGAAAATGACGGCGGTAAGGACTCCACATTCTTCATTGTAAATAAGAAGATGCTGAACGGTCTGCTTTCGTCAGTAAAGTGCAACAAGTGCGACGAAGGGTCGATACGCCTCGAGACTACGCACTGCCTTGGACTCGCAGCGAGGATGGAACTTTTTTGTGACAATTGTGGCAGAGTGAACAGTGCGTGGTCGTCCCCGAGGTGCTCCGGGCAACAAAAAACGAACCCCTTTGAGGTAAACGTGCGTGCTTTGAGGGCTGTGCAGTCAGTTGGCAGAAAACAATCTGCCATAAATGACATTTTTTCTGCGATGGACATTTCGCATCGAGCACTGCACCACAAGTCCTACCAGAGACTGCAAAGGAAGTACAGCCACCCTGCCACCACATCAGCTGCCACCCGCATTGAAGCAGAAAGTGCACAGAAGGTGCATGACATTTACAAGGACCTAGGAGGAGTGCCAGGCAACATTGACGTCATTTACGACGGCACGTGGATGACGAGGGGGCACAGAAGTCATATTGGCGTGGGCTGTGTAATCGAGCTGTACACAGGCTTGGTCTTGGACCACTGTGTCCTGTCCAACTACTGCCAAGGCTGTGCTGTTGGCCCCAAGCCTGGTGACGACAACTATGAGGAGTGGCTTGAGAAACACAAGCCACAGTGCCAAAAGAACACCGATGCTAATGCAGGCCAAATGGAAGTAGAAGCAGCTAGGATCATGTTTGAAAGATCGTTTACCAAGTACAAGCTTCGATACATCAATGTGCTCTGCGACGGTGACAGCCGTACGTACCTTGCCCTCACGCAAGACAAGGTGTATGGCTACATGGTGATTAAGAAACAGGAGTGTGTGAACCATGTGAAAAAAAGAATGGGCACTTCCTTGCGCAACCTTCTTGATGAGCACAAATCCAAAGGCCGAGGACTGAGCATGGGTGGCAAAGGCCGGCTGACGCAGGGCCTGATAAAGAAGTTGACGAATTATTATGGCTGGGCCATTAAGAGCCACCCCAACGATGTTCCTGGCATGGAGAGGGCCATCATGGCCACTTATTACCATGTAACATCCACAGACCAGGATCCACACCACAACCTGTGCCCAAGTGGGACTGACTCCTGGTGCCCGCACAATCAGGCATTGGCCAAAGGAGAGCGGCTGCCGCCTCACAAACATAAACTGCCCCCTCACGTGCGAGTGGCACTGCTGCCGATCTACAAGCGCCTCTCGAACCAAGAGCTCCTTGAAAGGTGTGCGCAGGGAAAAACCCAGAACGCTGTGGAGAGTATGAACAGCCTCATTTGGTCACTCCAGTCCAAGAGCCAGTTTGCCTCCCTTCGAAGTGTGGAAAGTGCAGTTGCAGATGCAGTCTGCCGTTTCAATGGTGGCTGCAAGAGTGCGCTGCAAGAGATCACTGCTCAACTGGGCTTCAATCCAGGAGACTGCTCTTTGCAGCGAGCAGCCGAAAAGGATGCCAAAAGGGTAAAGAGGGCTCAAAAGGCGCATTGTTCCACGACAAAGAAGCGCAAAACTGGGTTGCGCTCTACAGAGGCCATGGCCACAGCATCTCAGGATTACTGCCCAGGAGGATTCTGAGTGTTTTAGGCATGTTGTGAACTTCCAAACAAGAGTGAACTTTCAAAGTCAGTTTTCTCAACTCTTGATTTTCGCCTATGTGCCTTCGCTAGAACATCTGTCATTTTCTAACAAAGACTGATAGAGTCGTTCCGTTTTTTGCACTAGGCTCAGGAGGCCTTTAGCAGTGCAATAAAGCTTTATCTCTCTTCTTACTCATCATTTAAAATTTTTAGAACACATTTTATAATTACTGCGATGTGTGCGCAAAACAACATCCATGTTTTGGAAATTTTATTTATGGTTACAAGAACTAGAAAAATCAACTAATAGCTTCTTTGCACAAGTTGATGCTTTGGGAACATAATAATATGAAAAAATAATTTCATTTAGCAATAATTATCTCTTTAATTGTGAAGAGCATAAATTAGTATAATTATGCTTGTAACTCAAAAAGTACTAGAGGTATTTGAAAACGGTTTTCATATTTGGAATCCTCACAATCATCCACATACACACACCAAATTTCATCACAAACAGTACATTAATAAAAAAATTAGTTTTACTTGCCACGTCCCCCCTTAAGTAAAGCAGACTTGCTACTTTCTAGCCCACTCATAATTAATTAAAAAGTGCAGCGTTTGTACTATAACTCGTAGGCCGGCTCATTGTAAAGAAACAACGAAAATATTAATTCATTCCAAGATGGGCAGCACTAATGTTTCTAGACTCGCAGATACAATGTTTTGGCACTACTGTTGAGATGTAAGAATATCATTTTCTATGCTGTAGGCACATAGCATTAGCCCAAATAAGAAGTTAAGAATATGAAATCAGTTACAACTGCTCATTGCAACTTAGCAAAAGAGCGAGATGTAGGTAGACCTATGGGTAAGCAGAAACGTGGCTGCTTTAATGGCAGATAGAAAGGCTGGCTGGGCCATTCGCCTGACATGATTTTGCCATATCTAAGCAAAGACTGTTATCTTGTGTACAAGTAGATACGATGCCACGGTCGCGCAGCTATGGTTGAAGCCACTTGCCTAATGAGGCGAGCAGCTCGTGGCACCCTGGCACACTCCACAGCTTGACACTGACATGGCACTCGACGCTGTCTTGTTCAGTCTTTCCCAACTGCCCAACAACCTGGTGCATCTGGAAGGAAAGTTGACACGTGAGCACAGTGCCTTAACCCAGAGCATCGCTTGTACCAAAAGTGAGTTGCCCAAGAAACGAAGATGGAAGTTACAAAACAGCAGCATTTCCAACTTTAACATGAAAGCGTGTGTTTTGATTGAACAGTGATACCAGTTCATGAGTCTTTCTGAGTAAATAAATTTATCAGTACCTGACTAACATTCATGCGTTCTTGATGAGCTCTTTCCCTAGAAGGTGAAGCTTCGCATGTGCGAGCGAATCAGCTTCGATACAAGTTTATTCTTTGTAAAGCAAGCTTTCTGTGTAGTATAGTGGCAACTCAATTTTATCCTATCTTTACTTCTGCCTCAATTATGTGTTTGGACTAGCACTTCTCTAAATGTACTTCAAGAAACAAACCGTCACACTAAAGTTGTACGGTCTCAACGGTGAGTGCGAGAGCTCGCCAACGTCTGTGAATACGCACCAGTTCGATGATGTCATCTGCGTACTCTGGGCTTGACAGCAGCTTAGATATGGCACTCAGGGAGATCACAGACAGGCCTTGAAGCAAAAGAAAGAAATAATGAGAGGTCTAATAGGCACTTGCAGGCTGCCAATTGCAATTGCAACAACTTTTAAATACATGGCACCATGTAACAATCTGTGCATTGGTACATGGTATCGTGTATGTATGCATTGGTACCATGGTACCAGTGCACACATTTGTTCTTGGAAAGGCAGCATTGGTATGAAAGGTTTTTTGTCAGTGCAAGCAGCTTGATGTTATTTTTAATTAATCTTTTCATAAATGGGACACACCTTAAAGATAGACACTAAATTTTTGTTTTTGATATGCTTTCACAGATGCTTATATAAGGACTCAAAAGAAATAGGGAAGGTGCTGGCTAACAAAAGCCACCGAGAGGGGCACAACACCTGCATACTTTTATTTTGAAGGAGGCAGGAACAGAAACTGAAGATTAAGAGAGGAAGAAATGAATGAAAGGACAGGAAGCGCTGGCAAGAAACTTGCAAGAAGGACAGCGTGACAGCAATCCAACCCCGCTCTGATGATATCTAAGGTGTTTGCAACACGGCACAAGCCACAAAATCCAACAGGCTTAAAAAGAAAACAGTCTGCAAGTTCACCACTGACCAATGTCTGGAGAAGTACTGTATACAAGCAAGTAAAACTTCGACTAAACTGTGAAGCTTGGCCGAGCCTGTTCAGGTATCTTTTCGTGAAACATGCACACACGCTAAAGGCATTTTCCTAAGACACTCGTGTGACACTTTCTTCGGACTAAAAATTTAGCCAAACAATTATTGCTGCACCCTACGAACTGGTCGAGCCATCTGTAACAACAGAAGGATGACAGATAACGAACAGTTTAAATCCATTTTTTTTTTAGAGCAACTATACGCATGCCTCTGCCTTTAAATGATGGACACAGAGAGAGATTTACATTGTGAAAGCAAGAGCAAAGTCAGGCATGATAAAGAGTACAGTGCCGCACAAGCACAGGGACGAATGAAGAAATGCAGCGCTCACCGAGAAGTGCCTGGAGACTAGTGCTGCACTGGACAAGCCTCTCTCCGGGATCCGCTTGCGGGAAGAAGACGGAGGCCGGCAGTCCATTGGCAGCCGGCTCGAAGCGGAAGCCCACTGCTACAAGTAGTTCCTTCCAACCCGAGACGGGCCCCACTTTGCTCTCGATGGATTTCTGGCTCGTGTACATGGCGTTCTTCTGGCCCCTCTGTATGCGCTGTAGGGATTTCTCCACCTGGAACAGTTAAAGTAAGAAATCAGTGGCATTATTTCTCTCTCTTTTTCAAGGCATGTAGAGAGGCACATCAAAGTAGTCTGCTCCATCCACATTTTCTTCTTTGTCCATGGTATACACTTCTACAGCTATGATTAACAACAGTAATCATAATGCTCATAACTTCTCAATTTGTGCATAGGGGGTGTAGAGCACGCGAACACGTCTGTGTAGAGCACGCAAACAGCCGGTTTTTGCTCTGCGGGGCTAAACCTTGGGGCAGTGTCAGGCTCTGACGTGGTCAGCCTGACAACTAGGCCTTGCATGCTTCCGATACACCACTTCAGAGCCCGAAACTGCCTCAAGGTTTCAGATGCAGAGCAAAAATCATGCTGCTCGAGCACTGTACGCAGACGTGGACGTGGCTGTACTTATACGACTGCTGCAACCTCAATCACCTCCTACTGTTTGTAAGCCCGTGACTTTTGTGCTCTACTCAGTACTACCATACTCATACGATGAATAGATGGTGCAATGCTAACGGAGATCGACAAGGCAGATTCTTGTCTTCCTACTGTGTTCACTCTTTCTTCAGTCACTGGTAAGGCTTGTTCACACCAGTAACTAGTACGGTCATCGTGCGATTGAGTTTAGTTGCAAGGAAAGTGGTTGCAAGTGGTCACTGATGATTACTTTGGTCACAAAGCAATGGCTCTGGCTCAGTTGCTCCCTGCTTAATTTTCAGTCGCAAAGCTCTGAATCAATCAGATGGGCAGAAGCAGGACACCAGCTTATTTGAAGGGGCCATGGCGATGGGAGACGAGAATTATGCACAGTGAAGGGTACAGGTTGCACGCAGGTGTGCACGTCCATTGCCTTGAGTCACTTTTTGGTTGCCAGTCGCGAGTAGACTGGCAGCTAGGGCTAGTTGCAAATGAGAATGAGCCTTCTATGATTGCACGACTGGTCCATCAAATGGAACCTTATCGATTGGCCCAAATGTCTACACTCCCACTGTATATCAGATGTGGAGGGCACCAAGCGGTGATGGCCTTTTTGCAAGCTTCAGGCATGTCTTGTCTTGATAGTTCTCATCACTCTCCCACTCACCAGGATGTAGGACAACACGCAGAGCATCCCGGCACTTGTCAGGTGTTTTGAGCAGCTCCACCAGGGCCTGGCCCATGAGCACCACCTGGTTGGAAAGGTGCACATCCCCACCAACCAATGCGAAGCTGGCCCAGTTGGCCGGGTGACCAAACTGCTTGGTCGTCTGGATTGTGCACAGGGCCTCACTCAGGGCAGCGCTGGCTCTTGAGCCCTACACAGCAGAAAAACAAAGAAAAAGCAAATTGGAGGTGACTTTTGCTAATAGGAACTGCCATGCTTCACCAGCAGAGTAGGCAGCACATAGTTGCAGTAATAGTATTTATGTTGTTTCGACAGTATATACCATCAACAGCACTAATGCTTACAATGTTCTGGTATTCCGTAACTTGCACTAATACTTAAATTCGCAGAGTAAAACTCAAATGTCACTTCCACTCGTGTGAAGCATCAGTTTGTCAGAAGTTAATCATCATGCACAATTTCCCAGGCTGCACTACTCTATTTCGCGACCACAAAAATTTCGCAAGTAGTATTATATAACGCGCTGACAAGATGGCATTACCTGCATGAGTGATGAGTAGAAAGTCCTTAATAGTATCTTCAGTGCAGTGTCTGGAACAGGCCACAGTGACACGAGGACACAGTGTGCACCAGCCGCGAGGAATGCTCCGGCTAGTGTCTCCAGGGACTGGGCATCCACTCGGCCGTGAGACGAGCGTGTGTGGCATGTGCTGAGAACGACCAGGCGGGCGACAAGCCGCATTTGAGACACGTCGGAGGCTGTCAGCAGAACGTCTCCTGTCGGCCGTGCCCCATCACCTCCCTCTTCCCCGCTTGCTTCTTCATCCTCGGCAAACTCGGCTCCCGACGCCAGCACTATTGCCGGAATCTAAAGGGCATAATGAAAACCTATGTGCTGACGGTGTCCTGTGTGGTTTCTCAATCGATCAGTCAATCAATCAAACAACCAATGAACAACACTGAATTATTCACCCACATCACTTGCTAACTCATAAGATCAATCGGTAAGTTAAGCAACCAACTTTGATCATCCAGAGAACTTGTTGAAGACAGGAAAAAGAAGCCATCACACTGTGCCTTGCAAAAGCTATTGGTCACTGATTTCAGTGGAGACTTGAAAGATTTGTCAAGATGATGCGGTACTACTTTTTCTGATGAGCGCACAGAACAATCTATGGTATCGTTCTTTTTACTGTAGTTCAATCATCTTTAAAGTTGGTAGTTGTTCTCCTAAACTTAGACTGGCTCTTTCAAGACGGTGTCAACTGGTTCATATAAAACGATGAGAATGAGAAACAAGTAGGACAGCACAAAGCTAGATCTTTGGCTTTGTTCTTTTGTTCTTTTTAAGTAACCAATAAATTATTTAACAGTGTATAATTGGCAGCACTATTACTAGTAGCCTTTTATTAAAAGGAACCTGACGGGACTTGGAAAATGGTATGCTTACATTGAGATGAAGAGGGGTGCAAAATTAAAGTGCAAAGCTAATCTCACTTGAGGCAGTTGTTCTATTTAAGTAGATATTTTGTTTCAAGAGATTTCCATATGTTAAGAGCCTACTGCGTTTCTGTGCTGCTGGAGAATACAATAACCGGGAAGCAATGAGCCAATAGCTATTCCACCACGGCAAAATACTAGTTATTCTCACCTTCCAAGACACGTGACTTGCAATGTGGATGCACTCTGCCTGTCCCATTCTTCCGAGTACCATTTCTTTTGTCGCATCAGCACCCAGCAGAGGTTCGCCACCCAAAATTTCAGCAACCATCTCGGCTTCCTGTTCGGCATGTGGAATCTCCGCACAGCCAAGCCATTCTAGTGTGCAGGGTGATACCTGGAGTTGTATGTTCAGTGGTTTAGCAACGTGAAATGTATTGTACAAATAAAATAAGGAAAAGAACTCTTTTTTTTCTACTTTATTTTTGCACTGTGTGCACAAGAAGACGTGAAAACACAATATTGGTATCTAATATTAATTATCGGCATATATTTCACACATACAAGATGTGTAAATACAAAGTATGTCTTTGTGTATACTTCATTGTATTCGTAGAATGAAAGAAAGAATATTGTTGAAGGGACTCTTTGTTAGGCACAACCAAATGAATTACAATAGGCACTTGAGTCAAGAAAGGCATAAGAGACATTATCGGTAGCTTTTAACTTCAGTGCAGCAAATATTGCATAAATCAAAATGAATGAACCATTTGCTGCCTAGTGTCGCGAGTTCGCCACATAGAAAAAAAAAACGCTGAGCTTGCAAGTCACGAAATGCGCGCTGCTTTTAATGCCGGCTGTAAAGTGCTGACAGGGAACGTAGCTTTGAGCATGAAAAATATTGCGCCGTCTTTTCTAAGGTATTTTATGCTAGAACCAATTATTTTGTAGCTGATGGTGAAGAATGCGAAGCTTGTGCAGCTGCTCTCACATCATCGTTCTTTCTTGCCTGGGTGACGTCAGTTCTATCTTCAATAATTTGATTATTTGGTGTGTACGCAACAAAGAGGAGGCACACGTTACGTCACGTAATTCTGAAATATGTTTTTTGTTGCAAGGTCCTTCGCTTCTGTGGCATACATAAAAGTACACATTAAAGTTGCCTTTTAGATAATTTAATGGCAGAATCATTTAAGGTTGCTATTTAATGCTAGAAAATGAAGACAATTTTCATTTTGTGCAGCAGTTTAATAATTCAGGCATTAAAGAGTTAAGTTTACAAAAAAGCACTCTCTATCGTAGGGGCCTGGATCGACAACTTTTGAATACTCGCGTGCATTATATCAATGGTTGTAGCACTTGATCCTTTAAATCGCCTAGAACCATGTGATGTGGCAGGTGCGACAACACAAGCTCTGTCTATTAGCAACATGAATAAAATGTAAGAGAACATACTAGTAAAGCTGTTGTTTACCTTAGGATTGCCAACGATTAACGACGTAAGCTGCTCCCCAGGTGCTGTTGAAGAAAATGCTGCTGTACGCTGCTGTCCGTGTTGCTGCTGCTGCCTCGCCGCCTTGGCTCGCTGGCACGCACGCAGCACGGACAGGGATGGCAGCACCGTCAGGCTGAACCTCTCACAGAGGTACTCGGTCGAGCCGTTTCCACGCAGCATCGCAAATGGCACCAGGTAGAGGTCGCCGTCAGGTACAATGAGAAGGTCGCGACCTGCGAACCGACTGAGCTCTTCTTCTGCGTGGCCAATGAGCAGCTCATAGAGTGCATGGAGGGAGGGGGGCCCGGGCCAATGAGGTCGTGGGGCACGCATGCTGCCTGCGCGGCTGGCGGGGCCGGAGGTGACGCTCACGCTGCCAACACTGAACAGACTGCTCAGGCTGTAATTGGAGCTGTTAAGGAGGTGGTTTCGATTGCCCAGTCGGCTGAAACCTGCACTGCTCCGGCGTTCCGGATCCTGCGCATGTTTTCATGAGTTTATGGTCATTATTATTACTGCTAGACAACATAAGCTAAATGCTAGGCTATCGTGATAAAACAAGTATATATACAGTAAATTAAAGTGCTAAAGCAGTTGACAGGCTTAGATTTATTCAACAATGAAGTCGGAAGTTTTTTATGTCTTAAATTCATACCAATACCCCAACAAGTGAATGTCAGCCCAATTCCACAGATTTGGTCATGTTTTCATACTTTGGCCCCATTTATTTGTTAAATTATTTAATTGTTGACTTGTTTCTTTGCCAATTAATGCACGATAGCAATGATGCTTAAGGCAGAAGGTAACATCAGAAAGTCAGCTGGGTGGGCCTCTAGCACCATGTCCACAAAAATTGCGCAATCACATGAAAAACACCCACATTGACACAGCACACATGCATATGAAATAGCACAAAAAATATGCAAGAAAAGCTCTGCCTACTATGAAAAGTTAGGAAAGGTTTAAACAAAGGTGTAAGTGCCATATACTGATCACAGAGAAGTATTGATGTTAGAGCATGTTAAAATATTAGAAATATGTCCCTCTGGCTTGAATCATTGATATCAGGCCGCAAAATTCTGCTTGTGAGTTCAAGGTATATGCTGGTCACACTCTGCATGAATGCTAGCACATAGTTGTTAGAGCACTCGAATTTAGGGATGTGTAAATAGTGAATTTTAGTTTAGAACTGACTTGAATAGAGTTGATACGGAATCAAATATAAATCTAGTACTGGTAAAAGAGTATAGCAGTAAGGCAAGCATTTTCAACAGAGCCCTGGAATAGCAATTTTTTAAACCACCCACCAATTGCACATTTTATTTAAAAGAAATATTCGAAAGCATTAACAAGGTAACATCACGATTACTTTTAACCAGCAACAATAATACCACAATTATGTAAGCTGAAGCAAATATATACAATGGCAACTAGCACCTCAGCAATATTTTTTTAACTGCAGGTAGAAATAAAGCAGAGAGTGCAGTATTCAAGGTGTAGGTTTGCAACAGTATAGAAATAAAACTGAGGTATGTATAACAATTAACAATCTTCATGCACCAACATCACCATGAACGTCATGATTGCATGATGAATAGTGGATTGACTATTGTGTCGCTTCAGCGACAGGGGAGTTTCAAGTAAAAACGCTTCTGCAAAACCTTTAGCTGCATGCATCTAGGCAACTTGCTGATTAAAACAAGAGACGTTACTCACCTCTGTTGCAGTGTTTCATTCCCCGTAGGTTTTTTTCGTCAGTGCTCATTATTTAAGAAATATTTGTAAAGTACAGTATTTCTAATATGCACAATTTGATTCGAGTACCAAGTAACACAGAACACTATTCTATTCTATATTTGAAATTTTTCAATATTCACACATCTCTATTTGCAGCAATCATGCACCTTGTTAGCGAGTTGGAAAATGGTCAGGACGGCCAGTGCAAACAAAACATGGACGTGATAAGAAAATGACGACACCAGCGCTTGTGTCGTCGTTTTCACCTCTTGCCCGTGTTTTGTTAGCACTGACTGTCATGAATCATGCACCTTTGCTAAACAATGTGAATCTGCTGCCATTCAAAGATGCATCTACGAACAGCCATGAATCAGCATTTTCTTTCTAAAGAAAGCAAAGTGCTCACCTGGCCAAAGCGGTCACTGGCTTCATCCCAGTGGCTCTGGCACGCGTCCTCGGTGTCCGGATCGACACCAAGTGATTCTCGAAGTGCTGACAAGTGGCGCTCCAGAAGGGGAGCTTTCTTTGGAAGCTTGCCGTCTTTGTCCGGCAGGAGGGCTTCAGACTGGTTTTCGCTCAGAGGTGTCTCGGTGAACTTCACTATTCCTGTTGAGAAGACGCACAATAGCACTGAGTGAGAGGTGCACATAAGAGAGCACTTACTGCGACACCGAAATGCCAATTCTACGTTGCATCATATTTTACTTACAGTTAGTGTGACTGCCATGGAAATGCAATAGAGAGGAAAGCAAGAACAAACAGTTTGTGAGAAGCAGCACTTGACAAAATGAAAAACCTATTCAATGCATGCGCTGATGGGCTAGTGGACAAGCCATGATATTAATAAAGTGGAGAACGAAATGTTACAATCATGCAGGCATGAAGGCAAAACAAATACAAATGCTGGATTGGAACTTGTTTTGTGCATGCACGAAGAAGATGCAGCGTAAAGAAGACGCAAACCCTAACGCTGGTTTGCAATGATTGCAGTCCAGTGCTTGTGTTTGCATCTTCTTCACATGAGCCTGAATTTGTCTTGTGCACAGTTGCTTCATCAACTTTGTCAGCTAGACAAACAGCATAGTTTTAATGACAATCGATTTACCACAATTAAAAGTAGGGAAGCATGTCCTATCCTGCTAGCAATGTGTGCCACATTTTGCTTTTCAAACTTGCACATTAATATGGCAACACGAACCACCAGACTAGCAAGAGGACAGCAGATCTCCTTTATTTTCACTGTGGCAATGCAGGCAAGCAAGGTGACATTTTTTTGTCTCTTTGCACTTGATAAAACCTCGCAGCTGCATGTGGAAGCATTGGAGAGCGAGAATAGTGCAAGGCAAAGATGTGGCTGTGATTGCAGTGAAGATGTATGTTGAAGAAAAGCAACGGCTTCCTCTGTTTCATGGATACAGAAATGACTGATCGCTTCACAGTGTTTAAAAGCCATGGTACAGCATAGGAGCTATCACAATTAATTTATAACCACTGTAGAGTAGGCATTTTGGCTAGTTGGTTCGTGATAACGACTAGAACAGTGCTAAAACAACAGTACGAAAACCAGTGTCGCAATTTGTCTCCTTACTTTATCCTGTTATTTCAGCGCTGTTCTACCTGTAATTTTAACTCCTGTGTGGCGCTACAGTTCAACCAAAGTGATGCTGCATGATTTTTCAAGCCCCGATGCTTGGAAATTTCATGCAATTACAAGCATGCAAACCATCAGCCTTACTGTGGTTGCCTATGATTCCACTTTCATCAAACAAAATCAAATTTAAGTTGTTGAAGTGACTGATTGGGACAGGTAGCAATTTAATTAAGGAAGTTGAGACAGTGTTTGAGACAGCTTGTGACAGGTACTACCTTTGTGTGGGACCATGAGCCAGATAAGTAAGTGTCCCGCAGCCAGACTGAAGTAGAGAACGGTGGCCTTCTGCCGGTTGACAACTTCCAGCAGCAGGTTTAGGCTGTTGGGCACACAGGCGGTGGCCGCCAACGGGCTCCTGCGAGTCTCGAGGGCGCGCTCTGCAAAGGAGCGGGTGCGGCTGCGCTCTGCCACCAACAGGGCCTCGTCCTGTCTGCCCAGGGACACCAGCACTCGCTGCATGCGGAAACGATTGCCAACAGATGGCATTAGCCCACTGTAAGCTAAGCAAACCTTCCTGACCACTATTAAACTCAGGGTGTATGCATTAACAGAATACGACAAACGCCAAGCTTAACGTTACACCTGTGTTCCTGCTATTTCTCGAACTTAATGTTATGGGACATGAATATAGTTCACGCACTACCGTGTAGTTTTTGTGACAACTGTGCCACACTAAGGGAACCTCCTTTGCCTATCCCAGATGTACATCAGCCAATACCACCCTTAAACATTTATGCGTAATCTTTTGTGCCACTTGGCAAGTTCTTCAAATTCCTGAGGGAGAAGAGATAAAGCGCACTTTATAAAATAAGCTCTGGCTACACAACACTACAAGCCACTGCTAAATGTACCATGGCTTGAGAGAAGCTGGGGGCATATTGTGGCAATCACTACACACAGTTATAAATTTTCTCAATATCCACACCCAGTTTGTTCAATCATTACTTTCCTTTGAAACATGGCAAGTTGTCCGTTTAAGCAGAACCAGCTTTAGAACTAGTTGCTATCTATGAACACTTAAAGGGTATAGCCCAAAAAATGATGAACACAGAAAATGGAAGCAAACAAGGGACTGGTGCTAAGTCTGTTGTCTGTTTCGATTTTCTGTGTTCATAGTTTTTTGTTCTACAATATTTGGTTGTCTCTTTAAGCTTGAAAGTCTGGCAATGCCATTGCTCATTGTTTGCTTCTCCTTACAATATAAGAACATACTGCCACGTCTTCTCAGCTAAAAGCAAAAAGGTCGGCGTCAAACGAAAGGCATCAACTCACCTGCAGAGCCTGTGTCGTGTCGGCCAGGAACTCCGCAATGACAGGGTCAGCACCGCGATGCTCTCCGAGAGAGACTGCAGCCATCAGCGCCTCAAGAAGGTCATGAGCACGGGCCAGTTGCTGCTGCGCTCCATCCAGGTCACCCTGGAGCCACAGAACCAAGCCGAGCCGGTGCCTGACGCGGGCCTCTTCCTCCCGCTTGCCACCCCCGAGTTGCTCACACGCCTGCAGAGCCTGCTGCAGATAGCTGCATGCCTGGCTCACATGACCCAGCGCGTGGTGCACGCGACCTGCACCATCACGGGCAATGTTTTATAGAGCGCACCGGACACTACTGCCAGGAACTAATGAGTGACTCTGCCAGTGCTAACTTATATGGCCAAAAGTCTGAAAGGGTAAAAACTTTTTGAAGAAGGCTAGGAAAGGTAAAGCTAGAAGGCTGGCCTTACCTTTCCTACTTGTTTTCTGTTGATTGGCCAATGAAAGTCCAGTGCCATATGCTTCTCCGCAAGACAATGCCAGGGATATAATATTTCTGCTTTTAAACTTGGGTACACCAAGTGGCTACCATGACTGAATAACACAACATTCTTTTTCTTTAACACAGCAACTTTGGTTGTAGCCCTTTTTTAGAGTAGTACTCTATTTCTTAATGTTCCTCATTCTGAGTTGCCTTAAGAACCACATAAACTAACAAACCTACTCAATTCTTTGTCTGAGAAAGAACTCAAACTGCGAAAAAAAAAAAAAACCCAGCCAGCAACAATTATGCTGAACAAGAGAAATTAAAGCAAGATTAATCGGCAGAATCTCAAATGTGATGGAAAACAAAGCAGTTTAGCAGCACACACTACGAGACTTTCAAAGTTAAGGTTGGGGTAATTTATGGCTGACAGTGGCTACAATATGTGCTCGCTCACCCAGGCTGCTGTAGGCTTCTGCTTTTGCCGCTTTGTCACCCAACTGAGCGGCGATGCTCAGGTTCTGTTCCTGCAACGAGACTGCCTTGTCGTAGTTGCCCAGAGCTTCGTGCGTCATTCCCAGGTTTCCATAAGCTCGCCCCTGGGCAGCCATGTTGTTTGTCTCTTCAGCAATCTCCAGGTCGATTTGGTGCCAGTGCAGGGCCTGGTCGTAATCGCCCATAGCCTGAAAAAGGTACAGTGGCACAACAGTTGAATCATGCGACCATGTGATACTTGACTCCGCTAGAAAGATTACATAGCAGCAGAATTAAACTACCTAACAGGCACAAAAAGTTATAGTGTTCTGCTGAATACATTATACTTCAATGAAATCAATGCATAGCCACAATGACAATATGTTACACTTAATGGCATTGAAAAATTAATGACATTTTTTAATTGATAAACTACTTTTGATGAATATTTCTACATCTTTCACTCAAATTTCTTCCAGCTGCATCTTATAAATAATTTCTTTGATAATGTTAGAACTGCAAACAAACGTTCACCATGGTTATTATTATCATGGCATACCATGTAATAATTATGCATCTATAGCACCACCTTCAGCTGTATTGACATTACATAACTCAAGTTTCCAGACACTTGATGGGAGTAACGTCAGCCTTGTGGCTCGGACATAAAGCTATGCCAAAGCGTATCACCTGGTAGACAGCGCCCATGCCGCAGGCGGCGTCTCCTCGAACGCATGGATCATCTTCTGCGAGCACCATCTGTCGCTCCAGACAGGCCAAGGCCTGTTCGTAGTTGCCCAGCTGGCGATGCAGAGCACCGAGTTCACCGTAAGCTGCTGCTTTCCCAGGCACTGCACTTTCGGCCGTCTGCTCGTGAGCCACGACCAAGCGCTTCTCTAGGCAGACCTGCACAAAAGGCAAGAGTCAATTAGTGCTTTTGGAAAGACATGGTGCATTACAGTTGGAGGAAGCACAGCAGCTAACACATCACCATTTGGCCCAATTGGCTAAGCATACGTCGTAAGGAAAGGTTGTTTTATGATAATAATAATCATATTCGGGGTTTTACGATCCAAAAACCACCATACGATTACGTGAGGCACTGAAAGGTTTAGCATATCACATTTAAACCACTTGCTGATTTCTTTCGTTTTCACTGAAGCTTGCACAATGACATAAAAATGCAAAGTGCCGAGGCAGGTAATTGAACTCACAATCTTGCATACGAAAAGATCTAAGCAACAAGACTATTATACGTAATCGAAATTTTTTTGCTGCCTTAGACAGCAATGGATGACATCGGCCAGGTGTGCTTATGCTACTTTGCAACTTTGCATTTAGGTCCTTTCAATACATATATGGTGACTTATTCAGGCAGCGACTTCTATAACTTGACTGGCAAAAACTGCTGCTAGGAAGACAATCACCAAAACTCTTAGAGCTGCTTGCTGATTTAGCTTTGCAGCATAAAGAAAAAAAATCACAAAAACAATGCCTGCTTCCAGCAGTGAGAAGTCACTTACCAGGGCCTGTTGCAAGTTCCCGAGGCTCCGGTATGAGCTTCCAAGGCCCCTGTAAGCTCTCTCCTGGTCGCGGGGAGACTGCGCCTTGATGGCGATGCTCAGGTACTGCTCGTGGCACTTGACCGCTTCTTCGGGGTCACCAAGGGCGTCGTAGCACTCGCCAAGACTGACCATAGGCACGTCCTTTGTCCAGCAGAGTACTGCTGCTGCTTCCAAGCTAAGAACAAAAACGAGTCACGTGGATTCATTTCCCTGGACAATGTACACAATTATCAATAGGAAAAAACAATCGTTGCTAGTAGCCTGCTGTTGAATGAGAGCTACCAATGCGGTTCGAACACCAGCTTCCACCCTACATTTGGTGAAGTAAAACAAACACCGTGCCCTTTTTAATGTATCAGGCAATCCCAACTGCGGTTGCAGTAACGGTAGTTTTTAAATGAAGGTACAATCTGTCCAGAAAAGTGTGAGTATATACCAGTTGGTGACACACAATTAGCAAGACCACACGGGACATAAAAAGAGATGACACGAACCGGTACAGGATTGCTTCGTGTTGTCTCTTTCTGTGTACCATGTGGCCTTGCAGTTACCTTTGCTGGTACTTATTAGATATAAGTCGAAATCTACTTGCCACCACTAGCACTCAAGGCCTTACATGGAAGTTAACTGATGACATAACAATCAACTAACAGGCCAGAACCTGTCTATGGTTTTCTGTAAGCATGCGTGGAGCTCAAAGGAAAGGCCCTAACAGTAAAGCTGTCTGCATGAGCTGTAAAATGGTGAAAAGGGTAAGAGAAAAGGCTGCAATGTGAAACCTTAGCTTCGCACAGCAACAATTCCACATGCCTATTAGGACTTATAAACTGTAACCAATTGGCAGCCAGCACTAACCTGTTCGAGAAGTGCCAACTGTTGCTCGAAATACCCAATGGCATCCTCATAGTGTGCCAGCCCGAGACGAACCAGGCCCAAGTTGCCCAGGGCCTGCGTCTCGAGCGGACAGTCCCGCAGCTGTCGTGCCCGCTCCAGCTGTGCCTGGTAGCAGCGCAGGGCCATGCCCAACTGGCCCAGGGAGAGGTGCACTGCCCCCAGCCGCCCCTGTGCCAGGCACTCGCCACGCACGTCACCCAGCTCTTGTTGCAGAGCCAGCTCCTAAGAAGAAGAGCACAAGGAGGCATGCAATTCGAGGCACTTCCATTATCACACAGCCGACAGAGCGCTTGGCTCATGACGTGTTCCAGTACTGCCAGCATAGAAAACATAATCTTGGCAAGTGTTATATCTAAAAGGGTGCATACAAGCGTGGTCGTCGGCAGAATTTTCTCTTGGGGGTGCAAACCAGTGCTGCTTTGCAGATGAGGAGGGGGTAGCCATAGAGTTTCCTAAATAAACACTAGAGGGAACTGAGGCACTAATGGGAGCTGCAACGGATGTCGCTTAAGCGAGCATGGGAATTATAGGTATGACATGAATTTTCCTAGTTTCGTTCTTTACATTCGTTCTCGCTTCGCGTGTCTTGAAGCTGCTTTGTCACGAAACAACAATCAACAAATGTTCGCAGTTACGCTTCACCATCTTAATCTTTTAGGTTTACCACTTCAAGTCAGGTCACGGAGTGAGAAACAGTTTGTTCTTTCCTTCAAAACAAAACCAAAACACAGCAATAAACGAAGCCACAAGTGTACTCGCCGCCCGTAAGCATGAAGACTAGGCAAATCCATGTCACACCCATAATTCCCATGGTGGCTGAATGATCACAGCACCAGTGTTTCCTCTAGTTAATTTCAAGAAAATCTATGGGGGTAGCACTGCTGTAGCTTGAGTGAGGGCATGTGCCGATGTGGCTTGATGTAGCCAAGTGCCCCCTTTGCAACCTTCCAGCCGACATCCATGTATACAAAGAAGCTGGTGTGAAACTCAGTATTGAACAATGTTACAGAAACCCACGCAAAAGAGGGTGCGAGGACAAACACACACACTGATCATCCTTTTGTCCTCTCTTGTGTATGTTCCTGTCAAATAATTCTACGATGATGTGCTTTACCTACACAACCTGTTCTATACGTCGGCAGTGCTAGCAAAAACTGTCACGCTCACTTGACATAGTTTGCTAACAGCGAGCAAACAATTAGGCTATTCGCATTAACTTGTGTTTATACCCTCATCTGACCACACTCACTAGAATACATTGAAGTTCACACTCGCATCTACTGGCACTCACTTTTGTACCCATGACCTGCTCAAATTCACTGTCTGCTCACTTATCTGCATGCCCACGACTACTTGCACTCATAGGGGCGCATTCATGTTCATACTCACACCTATCACTCCTCTTCATCCCTCACTCACAATCACACTCATACCACTGGCATGAGTGTGAACCAGTGTGCTTGCAATTAAACGGGTGTGCCAACTTATGTGCTTTTCATACCTGTTGCAAGGTAAAGATAGCAAAGAGGACAAAAAAAAAAACAGCGAGAAAAACAAAGCACAGTGAAAAGAAAACGGGGCAGGCTAGCTGCAAGCCTGTGTCATCTTTTTCATCTCATTGTGCCTTGTTTATCACGCTGTTTTCTTCTTTAATCCATTTTGAAAATGTACCAATGAGCCCAGTCTCAACTCCTTGGAACTTGAAAAGAACATTGGCAGCTTTGTGTAGACCTAGGCTTCAAGAAAGAGGCACGACACAGCAGCCAAAGACGGCAAATTGTGACTTTCTATGACTCTGGGCTCACTGCTCACAAGTTCCATTTTCCTGTTGCATATCACACTACACCACAGATATTTTCTTTATATGTGCCACCTACTTGCGTGTGGTAGCCGAGGGCTTTTTCGTAGCACTTCAGCTGTCGGTGACAGAGGCCCAGGGCACCGTATGCTGCAGCCTCGAGGTGACGCTCTTTGGACTGCCGCACCAACATCAGTTGCTTCTGGTACATCTGCACCGCTTCCTCGCTTTTTCCCATCTTCATCAGCACGTCACCCATATTGCCCAGTGCACGAAACTTGCCCTGCGTGTGCAGATCGCAGAAAAGAATGGCTATGGGTGGGCACTGTGATGCGCATATCGAGGCATGTTTTTCTAGTTAGTGCACTTTGCGATGACCTACAAACTAAGTATGGACGTTACCTATAAAATCACACTGCACTTGCCGTCTGTATCTCTACACCCAACACAAATATTATTCCAAAGATATGCTGATCATGAAAGAAGCTTGCCTTTGCTTTGGGATCATAAATATGATTGAGAACTTGCTTGTCAGCCAGGTCAGAGATGTACAGTCATGCCTTCAACTGCTCCAACATAGATGTTGGTGTCATTTCTGTTTTGTCAGGTGTCAGGAATGCTTCGAGCAACCCCAGGTAATGTTACGGTAAAGTGCAGAAGGCCTATTCCTTACGCAGCTGAAGTACTGTCGCAGACTGAAAGACAGAGAGCCTATACACACCTGCAGGTTCCGGGAGACCTGCGAGAGTGCGAGGAAGTACTTCTGGCACTCGTATGCAGCATCCAGGTTCCCCAGAGCGAGGTGTGAAAGGCCCAAGTTGCAGTAGGCTCGACCCATGTTGATGCGATCGTGCAGGTTCTTGGCCAGGGTGAGGTCTTTCTCGTAGTAATCGATGGCATCCTAAAAAACGGGGTAGCAGCATTTGCAATGTGTGTATCACTCTCTGCAGCTGCACGTCTGGTTATACTAGTACTGTAAAATTAGGGATGCAATTTAATTATTGATTATATAGCGTATCAGAATAATTTCTGTGCACTGTTTAAACTACACTTGTCGTAGGAATTTATGTACAACTAGTCAGTGAGATTAGGAAATTTTATGCATTCAGTTGCCAGAATCAACCATTTTAAATCCCTGATATACATAGACCATAAACTAATTGTGCACACTCAACAGTATAGCCGTCACGCAAAGTGGCGTAAGTGCAAGCAGAAGAATGCATTTTAGTGAAATGCAGTTGACTTGTTCAAATTTAAGATATTGATTAACAATTGATGCGCTCGCCCTGTAGCTTTTTTCGTCTCATCCCATGTTTTTTCATGCTCTTGTTAATTCATCCAACACATTAAACAAGCTATTCTTCGAAGTTTCATATGCGTGCACATAGTACATGTACACACACAATAATGACAAGTTGTGAACACCTCTGTCGCAGATGAGTGCGCACCTTGTAGTTTCCCAGGCAATAGTGGGCATAACCCAAGAAGTGGCAGGCCCTTGCTTGGGCCTCAGTGTCGCCCATCTCCTCAGAGAGGCGCAGGTAGTTCTCATAGTACGGCACGGCCTGGCCGAACTCTCCGCGCGAGCTGTAGCAGTTGCCCAGGTTGCACAGGGCACATGCCTCGCCTGCAGCATCCTTTAGTTCTCGTGCTATGTTCAAGTGGCTGGGAAGAAAGAACAAGACGGAAATACAAGCAATCAGTTAACTAAGGTATCCGAGTTTGGCGAAAGCAAACCTTTCATAAAATGCAATGAAAGTGTTCATCCCCTGCATTATGCTTCTCTGCATAGTGATTACATGCTGCGGAACATAATGCACAGTCAGCAATGACATGGAAACACAGACAGCAAAGGTGTGAGGACCCCCATGAAATGCATTTGCGAGCCACGCGACCACATACTAACAGTCTCTGGTAGCTGCCCTCTTTGAAATTATGCCATCTCCAGCATTAGTCCTGTTATCTTTTGCATTGTCTCTGCATTTCAAGAGCTGCATAACTTAGGCTATTTTTTTTCTGTCATGCAACAGTATCTTTCACCTGGCTTTCTTGCATTTTCTTTCTCGAAAACTGTGCACATGCTACTTCCCTATTAAAAATGTTATGTGACGATGACAGCATGCATGCAGTTTGTGACTCAAAAGCACTGACCAGGCGTACAACATTAAAGTAGGCAGAGGCACACAAGATAGACAGCAATTACTGTTGTGCAACAAAACATATGCTTCAAACTGTTCAACTGCTCTTAGACTGCAGGGCCAACCCACCTTTAAAAGTAAGAAATGACTGAGCACATGCACCAGCTTTTGAGAGAGAAGGTTAAGATAGGCTTTGCTATGTAGTGGCGCTGGCAATAGGAGCTCATAATAGCCAGAAACAGGATGATGATGATGCATGAGGCATAAGCTCAGCTAGGCATGTGTAAGATAGAACAGAACTAACACTTCAGAGTGCTGGGTATGAATGATGCTGTATTGCCCGGCTGGCCAGCTGCTGCTATGAATCAGTGCCCATCCAAATGGGTATATGTAGTCGATGGCCTGCATGTGCCAGCCTCTCACAGCTTTCGTACATTCTCGAAGGTGCATATTAGTTGCACCGAGAGTGTTATAGGTGCTGTGCTCATTGTTTTGCTAGCCCATTCTTAGCCAAAATGGCAAACTCATCGCACGATTAGAAAATTAAAGGAGCTGCTGAATATAGCAGTGCGTTACATGGTTGGTGTTATTTAGATGTGTCCATAGGCCAAACATTTCTTAGCTTGCAGACAGTAACCACTGCAAAGTGAACGAGCATACAGCATAAAAATTGTAGCCTATTCATTGTTCACAATAAGTAGAAATTCTATAGTAAATCGACATTCTATTATCCACATAATGAGTGCAAATAAAGATAGCTTGTAAAAATATTAGCAGAATCATGTTATTCTTCCATTTCTGATGTGCTTCTATAGAAATGGCGGACAGACCTTCGCCTTGAACTACGAAATAGTTGAGGGCGTAAAGCCATGGAGGAGTGTTCACTTGCTAACAACCAGCACGTTGCTTAGCTAAAAGTGAAAACTAATCGAACTTTGCCCGGTTAGCTGGTGGGCATGTGTGCTGCTTTTGTCACGTCCAAGCACTGCGAGTGTCATAAAAGGGCATAAAGCGATAGAACAATATGTGTTTGAATCTATTCATTATAGAAAACATTTTACTTTTTTCTTATTATAACATATGCACACACTCCCAGCTTACCAAAACAAAAACTCAAAGCCAACATCACCAGCTCAATATCAAGTTGTCTCTATTCGACAAATTCTTTTGCACGCTGCCTCAAACAGATATTATCATCATACTGCACTAGCACCACTAAAGCCACTTTGTCTCTCACATGCTTCCTTTATCTTCATCAAGACCTCAAGGAACTGGAAAAACGTTCCTACTAATTTCATGCTTCCAACAAAACCAATCATCATCAACAGGACTTCTTATTTAATGCACTTTGTACATCTTGTTTTCCTTTTAGGTATGCTTGCCAGAGTCGGCCATACCTAAACAACCCTCTTCAAGCGCATCATAAAGCAATCCACCCCTCACGTAAAATTTGTCCATCAGGGACCCTCTCAGGCATCAGAAATAAAGAGAAAACCTTCTCGTACCTTGTCCCTGGCAGCAAGTGCCATGTCTAGCTGCTTCTCGTGCCACCGACGGGCCTGCTGTCCGTCGCCCATGCAGCGGGCAGCGTGGCCTAGCCCAGCGTAGGCCCTCGCCTCGATGACTCGGTCGCCGAGCTCACGTGCTATCCTCAGCACTTGCTCGTGGTAGGAGCGAGCCTGGTCGAAGCAGCGTCGGTAGTGGTGGGAGGAGCCCAAGTTAGAGTAAGCGCGGGCCTCTTCTACCTTGTTACCAAGCTGCTTGGCGAGCCGCAGGTGCTCGGTGTGGCACTCGACCGCACTCTCAAAGTCACCCATGGCCAAGTACACGGCTCCCACATTGCCCACCTGGAATACGTTACATAATGCAATGATCGGGACCTGTTCGAGCAACAGAAGGGCCTCCAGCAGACTCTCTTTAAATGGAACTTGAAGGGACCAGAAAAATATGTTGCATTCAACAGGAGTTTCGTGTTTACTGAAAATTGAACAGTGGTGCAAAATTTAAGTTTAAAACCGATCTTTAAAGGCAGTTCTTCGATTTCAGCAGCAATTTCATGTAGAAGACTTCTGTTGACAGAGAGCCTACTGTATTTTGAAATAGAAGATTTACTGGATTAGTTAGAGGAAACTGGTTCCATTTGCACCACGGTGGCAACATCATTGTATGAAATGCTGCAGGAGTAAGTAACCGAAAAAGGACAGAGCAAGACAGTGCCGATTGGCATGCACATACCTCCCGTGCCTCTTGTAGACGGTCACCCATTTGGCGCACAAGCTGGACACACTGTTTATGGCTGGCCAGTGCATTTGGGTAGTCACCTATGGCCGTGTACACATGGCCCAGACTGGTGAGAGCCAGTGCTGCAGCCTGGCTGTCTTTGCACTTCATGGCTAAGACTAGCTGGTAGCGGTGGCTGGACAGCGCCTCCTTCAGGTTGCCTTTGGAAAAGTGCGCCGACCCCAGATTGCCGTGGGCACGGCACTCCCCTGCCTGGTCGTCTGCAGAATGGGCACAATGGCATCAATATACTCGACTACAGTATCCAGATGTCCTTCCTGTGACTGTGAAAGGAGAAATCTGCCTGTTTGAACAGTGTTGAGAGACACATAGACCCTCGCAATGGTTTAATAAAATTACACAAACATTTATTTATCCCTCGACCCAGTAGAGCCTAATATAGGCAAGAAATGAGATTTCCTTCATGATGTGCAAACGCAGAGAGCACACAAGCACACACGCTATTTCTGCTATACTGTTTGCTTAGAGATCCACACACAATCAGCCTTATCTGAGCGATCATGTGTTCAGAAAGCCGGTGTGACGCTGATCGTCATATCGCTGATCTCGTTGCTTCTCGCCGATTTAGAGACAACTGTATTCCGAGGTGCACACAAGTGCGATCTTAGTGACTAATTGCAAGGGTATAGTACATAGAAATTCACTGTGGTAGTGGAAGCTTAAGCTTCCACTACTAGTACAGAAATAAATTTTCAGAGATGATCAAAAGCAATGTGGCAGTCCTCACTGGCCGACTTACTGAGAGACTTGGCAACTGCCAGGTCCTGCTGCATGTAAGCAATGGCACGGTCAATGCTGTTCAGTGCCCAGTAGGCTGAGCTGAGAGCAGAGAAGACAGAGCCTCGCAACTTGAGGCTGCACGTGCCTATGTGCAAGGCCGTCTCGAGCAACACCACGGCGGCAGCATGCTGACCCGTGGCCAACAGCTCCTGGCCGATCACTGACGTCATCACAAAGGGTGATTTGTCCAGGCGCATTGACTGCAGCTGCCGATACGTGGGCTCCAGGGTGGCTGCACCGGGCATTGTTTCGAAAGCCAGTGTAAGTGCTTTTGACAAAACAACCAGTGAACAGAACGAAAACCACATTTTTGGTGCGTGATGTCACAAAACGCCCCGAGGAAATGCATCACTGTAATTACTGCGAGACCCGCGAGACCCGCCGCAGTGTTGCAGCAGTCATTATGCACGACTGCTGAACTGAAGGTCGCTAGATTGAACGCTGGCCGTGGGGGCCAGAGTTTTACTGAGGTGAAGTGCTAGAGGCCCGTATACTTAAATTTAGGTGCACGTTAAAGAACCCCAGGTGGCCCAAATTTTCAGAGTGCTTTAATGCAGCATCCCTCACAATCATATCGCTGTTTTCATACACTAGGAAGAAAATAATAATTATTATTATCATTTACTTCATTAAAGGATTGGTGTACGGCTCAGCAATAACTACTGAACTGATAGTTTTAGTAAATTTGACTCTCTAATAATATTTATACGATGTCATGGCTTGTCAAGAATGACATGTGTGTCTTCAGAATGTCATCTCAAGTTTGTTGGTTCCAGGACTCTTCTCCCACAGACCACAGAAGCCAATGCCCATCGTGTTCGGCTCTGCTGTCAACACATAGCAAACATTTGATTGCCATGCAATGTATATCTCTAGACACTTAAAGTGGTGCGTACCCACCTCTGAGGGGTGACTTCATAGCTGCTTCAACTAATCCAGCCAGCAGCTGGACTGATTTCGAATCTTGATTGAGCCCTGAGGCAAATGCAGCCAAGGCATCAGCATGCCTTCCCAAACACTGGAGTGCAACTCCTTGTCGATAGTATGCCTGTACAAAGACGGAGAGTAGGAATAAAAACAATGCACGCACAAAAAGAAGTTCATTGCTTTCTTTATCCCACTTAATTATTTGATGCAATGACCACCAATCAGGCTGCTCTAAGTGCCATTTAATACTATTTTCTGGTAAAGCAAACACAAGCAATTGATGATGATGCATAAGCGCTACCATAAAAAACAGCACTGATTTCAATCACACTGTGACAAATGTGATACAAGCCAATTTGTAATGATCGAAATTTTATGTGACACAATTCAAAGTTTCAACCCATTAGCTCACTTAAAGGTGTAATTTGAGAATAAAAAAATTTAAAACCTGGAAAGCCGCATAAACCAATAAAGATGTGAACGTGAGTGCGGCGTGCAACAGCTAGGTTTGTCCATGCATGTAATTTTTCTTCACACCTAATGCTACACGATGACTCATTTCAAGATGTGGCAAAATCTAACAGCGCCTTCAATGCAGTGAAAAAAACAGAAAGAAAAAATAGTGAGCATGATGTTAGTGAACTAAATTAGTAAACTAGCTCCAGATAACTAAGTTCTTCTGGTACCACTCATAATTCTCACCTTCAGGTGCAACCTATCTAGTGACTCATAGAAAGCAGGTACCCTACACGGTTGTTGCACCTTTTGAGGACTTGTTGGGTTCATGGCAGCTCCAAAAGCAAAGCTCTATTCATGATTAGCCCGTCGGCACCCTCTCCGCAAACTTGATGCTCATTGCAATCTCAGCAGCAGGAAGTGTTTGCTCATCATATGGTGAAAGTCTGTTTCCCGTGATCCTCTTTTTGTATACATTTTACAACTACATGCTCCAAAGATATCGCACGACACTCTGCAATATTTTTGCTTTTCTCTACATCATAACAGCACACACCACTGCTGCCGCAACCAAAACTGTCTCAGCACAACACACCTTGGCCCAGCGAGGGTTGAGCTCTCGGGCCTTGGCGGCGTCCTGGAGGGCCTGTGTGTACTTGCCGAGCCGCACGTAGGCAGCCGATCGGTTGCTGTACAGCACGTGATTGGCCGGGTCCAGGGCCAGGGCTTCCGTGTAGAGTTGGGCGGCCAGGCCAAAGTCTCCGGCCTGGCAGGCGGCTGTCGACTGGCGCACCAGGTCGAGGAAAGCGGCACGCTGGCTGCTGCTCGTGCTGGCTGCACCACCCAGGGCGCTGGCAGCACCGCCACTGCTGCTTCCTCCAGCCGAAGAGGAGGCTGCGCTGCTGCTGCCCTGGTCGCAGCATTCCACGTCCACCTCGAGCTGTAACAGACCAAACGTGGTGTGGTTAAGAGACCGTCGAAGATGAACGCTGAGCTGAATTTGGGAAATCAATTACACTCAAGAGAGGTCGGTTCTGCTTCTACGTGACATTAGCGAGTTAATGGCACATGGCTATGTGAATTCATGTTTCCATATTTCATGAGCACATGCCTTGTGAACGTTATAGAAATATTTACAAAAAATGAGAAACGGTGTGGACAACAGGACGAAAATGAAGTGCTTCACCAAGAATGTATACCAAAGCTAAGACTCCCTCAACAGTGCATGGTTTGTCTCTGTCTTGTGACTTGCACTGTTTATCATTTTCTGTGCACATGTACCAACTGGGCTAAATATGCGCTCCAGTATAAAAAATATGTATAGTGTGAGCGCTGACTATGTACTTCATCTTCATCTGTATGACAAAACCATTGTAGTGATCATCAGCGTGTCACGCGGGCTCGGCCTCTTTGGCTCGTGCATCTGGATTAAAAAGATAACCTGGTTACTGCCGTACCCGCGTACCCGACGTTGTCTCATAAGTGGTGGAGGTGCTGGGTATTTGCATACTGAACATATGCACTCTAAAAGAGTGTTTTCTTTTTTGTCTTTCTTGTAGTACTGATTAAACCTAATGTATACGAGGCTTTGAAGAAGAATGTTCATTATTGTCTGAAAGGTAAGAGAGGAGGGCTTCTCCATGCACGATCATTTGCTGTAGCGAGGCCAGCTTTACAAGATCAGCTTTAAATGTAGAAGCTTCAGACACCATCATCCATTCCGATAGCCGCTTGTACGCCTGTTTACATGCATTTGCGACAGGAGCGGCGCTAGGTGATTTCTATTGCATGGTTGGGGGGGGGGGGGTCGCGGCTGCCCCCTCCTCTCCTCCAGTGCCGCCCCTGAGGTCTCAGCACGGCACCTGTTGTCCCGCCTATTTTTCAGCAAATAATGATGCCGTCTCTTCGCTTCACACAGAGAAACTCTGCACAGATCTCGATAAACTATACACCTCGCACGCAGTTATCGGCGCGAGCACAGCACGGAGAAAAAGCGAACCAAAGTAAATGTTAACTGACGTGCGGGCGCGTACGCATAGTGCCACGAATTTTCGACACAATATTCAGAATGTTGTCGAATGTTGCTTAACACCCAACAGTCAGTAATTTTCCCCAATATTGCGCCAACGTTTACAGCCAATCAAAGTTGGGTTAACGGTGAAGCACAATCGTTGATTTATGTGTTGGCCCATATTTGGTCTCGGGGCTGGAACATATAATCGCGGATGTTTACTGCCAAATTTGACGTATTTTAGTGGCATTTACCTCACATGATCTGCCCAACGCATATACATCTGCCATCACATGCGCACTGCCCCTAATTACAAGCTATGCGCGCACGTACACTACGCATATTCAAGTTAATTTCCTCCAACAGCCCGTGCAAACGGCCATCGCGTAAAGCATCGTATTTACGCGCTTGATTCGCGCCACCCAACAAAACTGAAAACGAAAACCACAAACTGAGACACTTGCTTATCAACGGCAGTCCTACGGCTATCGACATCGTCAATGGTCGAGCGCTCGTCTTTTCCCGCCTAAAGCCAAAAAAGGTGTGCTACGTGTTCTGTGGTTTTGCACTCTCTTTCGGCCTTTACGGCACTGAACTCCAAACGTTATGTCGCACACTAACTTGGGAAACATGCGGTAAGTGTTTTTGTGGGTTTATAGCGTCGTTTAGCTGTCCGGTTAGTTGACACTCGCATAAAAAGTCTGTGGTGGGGAAGCACGAAAACGTCTCTGCAAAAAAAAAAAAAAAAAAAGGATAGGTAAAAATACCTTGAGTTGGGCTAGTTAGGTTATCTTTTCTATTAGTTAGCCCTTAAAAAATGCAGGCAATGAGGACGAAAGAAACAGAGCGTCAGTCGTACTCATTTTTTACACTATTTATGCGAGTACTGCATTTTCCGGCATCTCGGCACACTACAAAGTTAATCGCCGGCCAAACATTCAACGGATATACGTGGTTGAGTGAAATAGACGGCACAAGAAATCGAAGGATAGCTGAAGCGGTTCGTCTTCAGCTGTTTACGCGCCGTGTGACGAATCGCAGCATGGAAACTTTCCCTTCAGCAACTTTGTGACCCACCGGCTCAGCACTCTTCGTCATTGAGATCAGTTTTTCCGGTGCTCACGCATGCCTACACATTCATTACTCTCCGACGAAGTTGTGCATTTTTGAAAACCACCGTTGCAAACAAGGGGAACAGGACTTGCTAGATGTGTATGTCACGGCCATTCAGCCTTGTTTTTTTGTTTTTATCCAGCGGCAGTGGTAGTGTAGTAATGTAGCTTTCGCAATGCTTTCTCTGCAGCCGGAGGTTCTGTCACATATGCCATGATTTCGGGTAGATAAACGCGACTTCTTTGGTGTATGCCCAAGTGCCTCGAGTAAAGATCCTTGCACGGTTGTTAGAACTGAGTGTACCGCGGGCCTCTGTTTCATTTCAGAGGAGAAGCAGCACCGGCTTTCGTCCGTCGACGTTATCCGAAACTGTTGGCGTTCTTTCAAAAGAGCTGCACCCGTCATTGAGGTAACCAAATGGCGTTATTATTATTATTATTATTATTATTATTATTATTATTATTATTATTGAAAATGCCTTCATTTACATCACCGTTCTGTTGATGAGGCACGACCGCCAAGCATAAGCATGTGAGCAAATAATTAATACAGGCAAATGCGTTTCATCGCAAGCGTACAAAGGTGGGGAGGACCAGCCCTCCACACGAATTTTTTTTTCGATTTTAATTTCTAACTTGCCCATACAAACATGTGCACACACGAAGACAATGTTTTTAGAAGCAAAAACGATGAACCGAACGTGCGCAAAGGGTACTATGCTTACGTGTGTATGTATAGATTCCCGTTTTGGCAGAGCATGGCTACCAGAGCCAGTAGTTGCAGTTATAAGACGAACATTGCTTTCGGACCCCTTAGGGAAACGACACGTGATGTCTCGGCCGAGCTTGTACGTAGCACGTTTAGCTTAATCTGCACGACTTTTGTTTGTTTGTAGTTCCGTTCCCTTTGTTGTGACCTCCGAGTCATCCTTCACGATCCGCTCTCTCTCATCTCTCTGCTCTGTCTAAATTGGTTCGCGGGAACTTGTTATACACGCGAGGTCAAAAGACGTTCGTGCTTGAAAAAGTGGCGCGTGGCCCGCAATCGGCGGCCATCTCGGACGTTCGGGTCGCCCGCGGTTCCGTTCATCGTGAGCCGCACGCCCTCTGTGTTTACACAACAAAAGGACGCTAGCGCGCTGCTCGACCTTGTCACGCCAGTCATGCGAGAAAACGCCGCAGATGGCGCTGCGCCCAAGTGGCGCGCGCACGCACTCCGTGCATAGCGAGCGCCGTTGGGAAGAGGGACAAAAACTGAATAAAAGGCACGCTCTGTGTCGTGCGCGGCGCAGCCCGCCCAATTGGTTGGTTCGAATCGCGCGCGTTGCCAGTCACTTCCGGGCAACTGATTGCATTGCCTTTCGTATCGGGGCAACAATCGGGCAGGTAGAAACGTATAACATAGTATCGAAGAGGTGTGTCTCCGCTGTGCGCCTGGGAACTGGCGTGGTTAGCGGCTGCAACTTGAGACGCATGGAGTGATCAACCATGCATATATACGTCACTCTTGTTCACTCCAATATATATGTGTGTGAGGGTGTCAATTTCAAGACTCGTTTTCTTTGAACCATAACAGAGAATAATACCAGGGAATGTATAGAAGATATTATTAGAAATAAATGTAATGTAAATGTGAAGAAAAGTGAACGAAAAGGTAAAAAAAAAGGTAACTTGTCGGCAGGATCCGGACCTGCGACAATGGCGGTCTTCATCGAAACGGGAGGGGGAGACAAGGGAAGAATACAAGAAAGCTAATTGTTGAAATGGCAACGCAAGGTGAAGAGATGACGTGTCAAATGGTGCCGCCCCCCCCTACCCCCATCCTCGGTAAGAAACATGCACGAATGACCAGTTATAGAAAAATAAAAAAAAATGCACGAACAGAAAAAAAAACAATAAGCAAAGGATTCGGATCCACCATCTTCTAATGCCTTCTAAATTAATCTTTCTGTAAAGAAGAACGAATTCGACCTGATATATTTCAATACATCGGGGTGAAAAGCGTTTTTGAAGAACCGTATACGCGAGCACTAAACACGGATACGTTGAGCACATGGCTCTTTTTGGTGGATGTTATTTTTGCAGGTGGTATGGTGTGCACGTCGATGCGCCCCTCTGCGACGCTCATGTCTGTGGCTCCGGCTATGGCTCCGGCACGTGCGCATTCGGAACATTGGAGTTTGCGCATGCACGCCATCGCAGCCTTACAAGGCAGCCCTGCTCCGTACTTCATCCGTATGTTGGTTGCCATGGAGACAGATATCAGATCAATGCAGCGATCGTGTCGACTACCCCGCGATTATAGACATATTCTATGGTTGTAAATAGTGGTAGGCGACGTCGCGGCTTGTAATGACGTCACTACAAGCGCCTCGGTACGTCGACCGCTGCGAGGAGAGATTAGGATGGAGTGAAGCCGCAACACGATTGATGCCATCAGGTGGGAGAGTACATCGGCCCAACGCTTGATCGCCATGCCGGAGCAGCTCTGGCAGTGCCCGGCGTTACATGACGCAAAGTTCAGCACAGAAGAAGACTGGGAGAGGACTCTTAAAAGCCCCGAGCTCTCAGTCCAATACTCGGCAGTCCGGGAGGCCTGCAAGCGGGCGGAGGGCCACGGTCTTCCAGTCCCGGCGTCGACGCGGCCAGCAGCTGCGGCGGACACCTCTTAGAGGGTGTGTCTGACCAGTTCTCCAGGATTTCACTTCAGCAGTGCCGGCGAACTTACAGCAGTGCAGCCGAACAAACAATGCTCGATCGGGTCACATGTCGGGCCGATCATATACGCTGCGAGGCAAATGGCTTCGCGGAGCCTTGCCAGCGATGCAGCCGCGTGACGTGTAATGCGCCATTCTGCGATAGTTTATCTGTGATTACGCAGATCGAGGGGCACGTGCGAGCATCTCCTGGAAGCGGAGAGACAAAGCTTAGCGCGACCCCGAAGACGGTCTTCTGGGCGGTGCCGCGTAGCCCGTCCCCTCCCCGCGACCCCTGGGAAAAGGTAACAGCAGGCGCCGAGCAAAGCCACAATCTTCCCCAGGGACCGAACGCATCGCCTAATCGAACTCGCGGAGAACAATTGCTCGCTGCTGTGTGGTGTTCCTTGGCTGCTGCTATACCGGGGCCGATGCGAGGACGACCGCGGAAACCATTTGGTGGCCGCCGCAGTTCTTGAGGATGCGCTGCCTGCCGTGTGCGCGCTTGTGTATGCTGTAGCCGTCGCACGGTCGCTGCGTTTGTGCCGTGTATTCGCTGACTTGCGTGCTACTCCCTGTTCGTTCGAATTTCAGTAATTCGCCACCACAATGTCGCACGATCGACTTCCTGTCTCGGTGGGCGCACTGGTGGATACGGAGGGGGGGGGGCAGTGTCCTGGCCTCACGCCCCGTATTTCTCTGACGTATGAGTGCAAGCGCTGACGCCCTATACTCAGCTTTGACTTCCTTGCCATAAGCTTACCTCACCCCCCCCCCCCCTAAAAAAAAACATGCATCATTTATTTATCGAGCGGTCGAATCGGATGAAGCATCCGGCGCGCTCCAACACTGACGTCCAACAGGCGTCTCTCCAACTGCCCCTTTGTTAGTTTGGGATATCAACGATTAATCACTCAGTCAGTCACTGTCGTGTCCATCTGTGTCTGCATCCATGAATCCAGCCATCGGTATGTATGTATGTATGTATGTATGTATGTATGTATGTATGTATGTATGTATGTATGTATGTATGTATGTCCATCTGAACAACCAGGTCGTCACCGTACGACATTCCTACTCAACTGGAACCGCTGCGCGCATTAGGCGTTGCGTTACGGTTCAGCCGGATTTGAATCGAATGTACGTACAATGCCTTACACGAAACTCACGCGTCGCCCCTTCCCTTAAGCTTTCATTGTCGTCGTGCACGCGCTACGCACTGCGCGAGTTTCTTTGGTTCCTTCGTTCTCCGCTGACGGTGGAAGAACGGAAGCAAGCGAACGCAAGCAACATCGCGTCAATGTAATATCGCCCGCTCGCGCACAACCAAAAAAGACCATTCCTCGTGACCGGATCGAACGAATGATGCGAGCAGAGAAAGGAACTCGTCCCTCTGCAGCCAGTGACGGCCCGCCCGTCCAACTACTGTGCGCAAAAAGCGACCCTCCCGTTTCGAGAAATTTGGGCGTCGCGCATCGTGAAGAAGAGGAAGCAGGAATGTCGCGGCGCAAATTGTGCGGTCCTCTGCGCGATTCGGGGATGGAGGGTGGCGTACATAAATCTGTGCTCCCGTCG